GGCCCTGTCTCTAGTTTAAAAAAAAATTAAAGGACCTAGAGCTGTAGCTCAGGGGTAGAGCACCTGGTGTACAACCCCTAGTACAAGTAGAGAGGGGAGCAGAGAGGAGGAGAGAGGGAGGGAGGAAGAGAAAGGTTCTTCCATGAAAGCTCTTTGTTTCTGGAGAGCTCTAAGAAAGTGATGCATTCATTGCAAACTATAACATTAAAGATATGGATCGAACATTCCATAACACTGTCCTAAATTACAATATTCTCTCTCTCGTTCGTTTGTTCTTTCTTTCTTTCTTTCTTTCTTTCTTTCTTTCTTTCTTTCTTGTTTGTTTGTTTGTTTCTTGTCTTTTTGTGACAGATCTTGCTATGCAGTTCACACTGGCCTTGAGCTCACTTCCTAGCCCAGGCTGGTCTTGAATTTACAACAATCCTCCTGCCTCAGCCTTCTAAGTGCTGGGATTACTGGATTGCACCACGTCGCCTGGCTTTTTTTCTTTTTTTCTGAGGCTGCCCTTGAACTCATTGTGTAGCTCAGGCTGGCCTCAAACTCATCTCCTAAGGACTGGGATTATAGGTGTGGCCAACACCTGGCTTTATTATATCATTGACCTGTCCTAAACAAACTCAATGAAAAAATGTGCAATAAAATTCTTTTTTTTTTTTCTTTCTTATGTCCTAACAGGTCCATGAGGTATATAAAATCTACATATTTTCTCTGTTTCTGGGATATTTACTGCAGTTTGAGAATCCAGCATTGTTAGTGTCTCCTTTATTAAGTTTAGTAGCTGCCTTAATACTTACTAAGTGCCTTCAGGTAATTATCATCGTCTTTTTATTCTTGTTATTTTTAAATTGTCAATTTTTTATATCTCACTTCTTTGTTCATATGCTTTTTCTACCATAGCTGAATGTGAAGAAAGGAACTTTTGCAGCTAAAATCATGAAAGTGGTTAATTTTTACCTAGTGTGTACTCTGCCAGTGACATTGAATATTATAATAAAGGTAAGTAACTCTCTGAGATTTATGCAGTAGAGCAAATTGAACAAGTTAGTCTAGCCAGGCGTGGTGGCACATACGTATAATCCTAGCACTCAGGAGGCTGAGACGGGAGGATTGCCGCAAGTTCAAGATCATTGTGGACTTCATAGTGTGTTCAAGGTCAACCTAAGCTACATAGTGAGATCTTGCCTCAAGAAAAAAAAAGGTATAAGTCTTGATATACTTAGACTATATTTCATTGAGAATAATGAATAGTAAAGGTTTTACAATATAATGCCAACTATAAAACTAGAATATTGGGTACAGAGAGAGAGAAAAAAAAGCAAAAGGGGAAAAACTTAGAATATTGGAGGAGAAACTACAAACCTGATTCTTTTCTCTGTGTGCTTGAGAAAAGAATACTTTCTTTTGTGTCTAATATGTTATCATTACCTAATTAAATATATGGGATAAATTGAGATAAATAAAAGGGTAAATAAGAGTGGGAAAAAAATGAGTGGGTAAATAAGTGGGTGAGATTAGAGCAAAGTATTTACAGATTTATGCTAAGCGTAAGGTGATGTGATTGATTTCTACCAATAAATCTCATTGCTTCATAAATAACACTATATAGAGTATTACTTAATTCATATTTTTGTAGTCTTGCTGTCCCTTCCCTTCCTGCGCCTTCCCTTTCCCCTTCCCCGTTCCCGTCCCTGTCCATCCCTCTCTCTCTTTCTTTCTTTCTTTCTTTCTTTCTTTCTTTCTTTCTTTCTTTCTTTCTTTCTTTCTTCCTGTCTGTCTGTCTGTCTGTCTGTCTTTCTGTCTGTCTTGTCTTTCTTTCTTTCCTTCTTTCTTTTTTCTTTTGTTTGTTCGTTTGTTCGTTCTAGTACCCAGGATCAAACTCAAAACCTCACACTTGCCTGGGCACTTATGCTGCTGAGCTAAATTATTGGCCCTTGCTGTATTTTCTGTCTCTAGTAATTGGAGAAAAAACATTGCTGCAAGTGTAGCTCATATTTCTTGGTTTAACTAGTGTTTTTCTCTTCTAGGTGTTTGTTCCACACAAGGGAAATGAGCACGTGCTCAAATTCCTTGAAGTAAAATTTGGGCTAACTATGACAAAATAAGTTTTTGATTATGTAATTTACTGCTTAGAAAATAAAAAGCAAATGTACAAAATGGCGGGAGTACACATCTAATTACACTATCACTTAGAAAATAATTAATTTGGGATATTATAGTATATAGAAGAAATGTGACATTATATTTTTCTTGGGCTGGGAATGTCGCTTGGATGGTAGAATGCTTGACCAGCACGCTTGAGTCCCTGGGTTTGATTCTTAGTATCACAGTCAATTAATAAATTTTCTAAAAGGTAGATAAACTTTCATAGTATTGCAGTATTTTAAGGCTACCTTTTCCCTTGATAAAGAATGATGACATAGATTGGGCATATTGGCGCACATCTGTAATCCTAGCCCTTGGGAGGCCAAAGCAGGAGAATTGCCATGAGTTTGAGGCCAACCTGGACTACATAGCAAGATTCTGATTCAAAGCAACCTAAATAAGTAAATAAATACATAAACAAACAGTAGATAAAGGCTGGGGTTGTATTCAGTGGTAGAGTGCTTGACAAGCTAGCATGTGTAAATCTCTAGGTTTCATTACCAGCGTGGTAGGAAAAAAAAATCAATAAAGAGCCAAGGTAATTTTAACCCCTACATCAACCATATGCTTACCTTTAAAAGGGACAAGTTAAACAGTACAACATTACTTTATAGCTAAGACTCTCATCTTGGGATCATAAAAATTGGGCCAGATGCTGTTCTGGTTTTTTATTGTTTTAAAGAATGTGTTTATATTTTTGTCGTCATTAAATTGATTTTGTTTTATTTTTTGATTTAGAATAAAATGAAATGATTTTATGCTAGCGCCCTACTACTGAACTACATCTGAGCGTCATAAATGATTTTATGTCCCAATAGTTTTCTGGCATGACAGAGGATAATAAACCATATATTTTCCTGGTATACACTTTAGTAGCTTTTCCTCATTTTCTGTGATTGTATGGGATTGTAAATATAGTGAGTAGAATTTCATGTGCTGATATTTCACAGTTTACAAATAAGGTGTTTGGGATATAGATCTCTTAAGAGACCATGCACCTGCTTTTTTTTCTAGCGTGGGGGAACAGTGTCTTCTCCAGGCATATGAGACGTAAAGATGGGTGCAGTAGGGGACTGGCCTTCCCACCAGCTGTTTCCTAAACCCTGAGCTCAGCCAAGAAACTTTTAAAGTTAAAGGCTGCTCCCTGAGCCAGTGTTTATTAGTTGATGTTTGTACAATACCTCTGTTTAGCACGTCATGCACTAGATTTGCTTCATGAGGTAAAGCATTGGGTGTTTTAAGAAACTTGCCATCTCTTTGTTTTTATACATTCAGTGACATGGGTGATATAAACAGCTGCCTAATGCTTAAATATGTCAATTGGATAATCAGTTTCAGAGTAGATTAGAATTTCAGAAACATTTCTGTTGATAGATTTTCAAGAACTACCAAAGAAATGCTAATATTTATTGAGTGTTTACAGTACTAGGCTACTGATACGGAAACATTAACAGCTGCACTCTAACACAAGGTAGACTGTACATTATGCAGTGCAAGAAAGGACAAGTAAAAGTACCACAAAAAATGGGAAAGCGGGGCACAGTGGCACACATTTTGTAATCCTAGCGCTAAGGCTGGGAATTCGAGGCCAGTCTGAACGACAGTGAGACCTGGTCTCAAAAAGGAAAGGAACAAAAAAGAAAAGAATAAAAGAATATGGGGATGAAAGATCAATGCTAAGGGAAATGAGAAGAATACTCATTAAATTTGGATTGGAATTAGACCTTACAGGATTTGTTTGTTTGGTTTTTGTTATAGGCATTATAGTTAATAACCTTCTAATGGAGGGCTAGGGATTTAGTTCAGTAGCATAAGCACCTGCCTTGCAAGCAGGCAGTCGTGAGTTCGATCCCCTGTACTAATAAAAAGGAAAAAGACCAAAAAAAAAAAAAAGCCTTCTAATGGAACATAAGGTGCCTTATTGTAGGCATAAGATATTGTTTTGACAGTCTCTTTAATACAGCTGTAGTTCTTCCCAATCCTTTGTTTCATTCTTTCTCTTTGAAATCCTGAGTGTATTTTGTACTTAAAATACCTCTCTGTTTGAACTGGTCACAACTGAAGTGTTCAACAGCAGTCACATTTAGCTGGTAGTTGCTATATCTGGCAGCACAGATGCAGAGGTTGGCCCGCTGAATTTTTGCTATCTTTCAGATAAAGATAGAAATCATTACATAAAAACTCAGTTGGGTCAGGCATGGAACTCTTAAAAAAAAAAAGATAAGTCATGATATACTTAGACTGTATTTCATTGAGAATAATGAATAGTAAAGGTTTTACAATATAATGCCAACTATAAAACTGTATACATGCCTGTAATCCCAGCACTTGCGAGGCTTGGCAGAAGGATTCCTGTGAGTTATGGCCAACCTGAACTGCATAGCGAAACCCTATCTCAAAGAGCCAAAAAATAAACAAAAAAGAAAAACTCAAATTCAGCTTTAAAGATGGTCACATTATTTGGTATAAAAAGTAGCACTTTCACATTTAAAAGAGCGATTTTGATGGCTTGTACCTTGCTGAAAAGGGTTGCTAATTCTGTTATATTTGTTTATAAATGGTGAGACCTTGCAATTATAAATGAATGAATATACCAAATGTGTTTTGTCTGCTTTTACTAAGATTTAGAAATACTTTTGTCAGTATTATAAAACATTTAATAATTTTAATATCATATTTTTTATCTTCTCCAGGAATTTTACAATGAATTGGCTCCTCTGTCAAGAATCCCTCCAGACACCATCTCAAGATTTTTTTTTGTGATTAACACAATCTTCCTTACTACCATTTTATATCCTAGTATTAAGTATTTGTATTCTTTCTGTGATGCAAGTTATTTTTAGGAGGATTAAGTAAGTACATGTGAGAATCAATTGCACTAACATATTGTGAAAATATTGAATAAGCTTCATATATATTTTTGTGTATGTATATACATGTACATGCTACCATATATATATACATAAACATACGTATGTTTCTTCTTTTCTTGTGCTAAGGATTAAACTGAGGCTTTATGCCTGCTAAACACAAAGTCTACCACTGAGCTGTACCCCAGCCCCATTTTTTTTTTAAATAGATGAGGTTTTATTGTCTTGCTCAGCCTGACCACAAACCCCTGAGCTCAAGTGACCCTCCAGCCTCCGCCTCCAAAGTGTCTGGGACTGCAGGTGTGAGCCTCCAGACTTCCTGCTGATATTTTTGTATTTGTTTCAGCCCTCTAATTCCACTCTGTCTTCATTGATCATTGTAAATTGACCAGAAAAACTGATGTTTGGTTTTATATATGTAGATATGCATGTCCATATTTAATAGGTTGAACTTTTACATTTAATTTACTCAAAATCTTAATATAGAATAATTTTATCCATTTAATTGAAATGAAGCAAGTAACATAAGTGATTTTATTTTATTTTATTTTATTTTATATTTTTGGTTTTATGAGCCAAGGTCTTACCATATAGTTCAGACTGGCCTGGAACTCAACTATGTACCCTAGGCAGGCCCCAAATTCATGGCAGTCCTCCTGCCTCAGATTCCCAAATACTGGGAAGCATAAGTGATTTTAATTTATAAATTTCCTATATTTCCTTTTTCTAAAATTCTTTTTTGTTTTTGTTTTAGGCTTTTAAAATTTAAGTTTATGAGTACATTTTAGGCACACATAATGATCACATTCATCAAAGGGACTTGTACCTATACATGATTTACTTTATTTTTTTGCCCCATTTCTCTACCCTCCCTTTAACTCCTCTTCCCCTCCTTTATAAAAGCTTTGTTTCCATTTTTTCCTTCTTATTTCTTTGTCTTTTCCCTTCCTTTTACCCTCCCCACTCCCTGGTTCCTCTTCCCGTTTGAACGTTTTCTTCCTGTTACACATTTTGGTCCTTATTTACACTTTCAGTTCCTCAAACTAGAGAAACAGTGCAATTTATTTCACTTAAGAGTATGCTCTAAAGATGCATCCATTTACCTAGAAATGTTTGAAATTTGTCTTTGTGACTAATGCTCCATTGTATAATGTTTCTTATGTTTGATTTTTTTTTTCTTTGAGTCAAGGTTTTGCTATTAGATCGGGCTGGTCTTGAACTCATTATGTGGCCAGACTGGCCTGGAGCTCTCAGCAGTCCTCTTGCCTCAGATTCCCAAGTACTGGGATTATAGGCGTGCTCCATCATGCCTGTTTATCATGTTTGAAAGGAGGGTTTGTATAACTTCTTAATTTTAATATCTTTTTTATACTGTGATTTAACTATATTGATATAGCAATTATTAGTTGAATCATAAATGATCTCAGAACAAGCCTGAAAAATTCTTAATTTCCACAGAATCAATTGTCTGGGTCCATAAAAGAAATTAGTGGGCCGGGGATTTAGCTCAGTGGCATAAGCACCTGCCTGGCAAGCATTAGGTTGTGAGTTCAATCCCCAGTACCAAAAAAAAAAAGAAAAAGAAATTAGTAAAAAGAGACATATGCTGGATATTTGTTTTCTTTCTTTACTTCTTTTTAATTTTTATTTTATTGGTGTATTTTAGATACATATATATAATGATAACATTCACCATAGGGAATTTGTACCTGTGCATTATATATCTTATGCTGGATATTTGACTAGCAGAATATACTTACAAATTTTAAGGACTACCTATGATTTTGTTATGAAGAAAATACATTTTTAAGTATGACCTTGAAGGATGATGAAAAGTGTTTTCAGTGTTTCAGATACTGTAATTAAAAATATTAAAAAGCATATTTTCCTCATAGTGTTAGGTCCCAGAAAGCAACTGTTACACTTGAAGACAAACGAATTGGAGAAAGGCCAGAAATAATTTATCATGTAATTCACACTATTTTATTGGGTTCTCTTGCAATGGTTTTAGAAGGGTAAGTGTACTTTGATTTCTTTGTTTTGATGATTGTCCTTTCTAATGATTAATAAGTGGGCACACTCAAAAATGTACTTGTAGAAGTTTGTAAAAATTTAGAACCTGTATTATTTCTTACTATAATGGGGGTACAACTTGAAACAAGAAAATCACAAAAAAAGGTCTTTATAGCACAATGAAATGATATTTAATTGACATTCATTTGTTGAGAAGCTATTGAATGTCTTCTAAGATCCAGTCTAGATGTTCAAGGTACAGCAGTAAGCAAAAATGGACACAACCTCTAATCCCATTTAACTTTTGGTCTAGAGGAGGTGACAGATGTTAATCACACAAAAATAAAATTATAGCACTGGACTTGGTGGCACATGCCTGTAATCCTAGCACGCAGGAGGCTGAGGCAGGAAAATTGCCGCAAGTTTAAGGCCAGCCTGGGCTACACAGTGAGTTCAAGGGCAGTCTGAACTACACAGTGAGACCCTGTCTCAAAAAAAAAAAAAAATTACAGCTTGATAATTAAAGAAGACATTAAAGGTATTGTGAAAACATTTAAAAAACCGATGTTGAGTAAAAGAAAGCAGAAGGGTTCTCTACAGAAAGATGCTTGAGTTGAGACCTGAAGGCTGAGGCAAAGTGAACTTGTGAGCAGCAGCAGGAGAGCATTCCAGGTAGAAGGACTGCGCAGTGGGAGGGAGCGTGGTGCATTGTTGGGACCACAGGAGCTGAGCATGGGAGGGTGCAGTGTGTGCGGTTGGCCCTGGACCTTGTGGAGTATTTGGGGGTGGATCCAGCTTTCCATTCATCCTTTCCCTCCCTTATTTCTTTTATTGTTTGTAAATGGAAAATGAACCCTTAATAAAATACAGGTGGGATCACATTTAATGCTCAATTATGTAGATGTTTGCATTTTATTTGCCTTATAATTTTAGTGTTCTTTGTACCTTCTTGAATTTGTTAAGGCAAATGGCATTGGGGTAGTGCTGTGTCACTTAATGTCTGAATACTTTCTAAGAAATGCACCCTTATATTGCTGTGCAAACTTCATAGGATGTGCTGACCAAAACTAAGACTACTGTTGTCTTAACTAGGCAATATAATTTTGTGGCACTGTTGTCATGTATGTGGGTCATCATTGATGAAAGCATCATTTTGCAGTGTAGGACTATTAATATTCAGATAAGTTATTATCATAGCTATTTGGAGAGTTTGATTTCTTACTTTGTTTTCATTTTTGCTTTTTTCGGTTTTTTGAAGTAGAGTCTCACTGTGTAGCCCAGGTTCAACTCACTGTAGCCCAGACTGATCTCGAACTCACAGCAGTCCTCTTGCCTCAGCTTCAGTGCTGAAATTACATCTGTGCAGCACTGTGCCTGGCAAGAGTTTGGTTTCTTTTAACATGTCTTGCACATCTTACTTATTTTGTAGTACTAGGGGTTGAGCTACTTTCTTGACTTTGTTTGTTTGGTACTGGGGATCAAACTTGCAACCATGCTTGCCAGGCAGGTGCTTATGCCACTGAACTAAATCCCCGGCTCCTTGGCCTTTTTTATTTTTTATTTTGAGTTCTGCCTGTATTGTCCAGGCATCACTCAAATTTGCAGTCCTCATTCCTCAGTCTCCTAAATGCAGAGGTTATAGGTGAGCACCACCTTGTCTTGCTTACACTATTTAAGTCTTTAGTTTTCAAACTTCCCTTATTCCTGCTTCTGTAGAAAATCATGCCAACCTATTGTCTTTATAAAACTCAGAAGCTTTTAGTTTTTGTATAATTTACTCTTAGCAGTAGTAGTAGGTATAAAATTATGGGCTAGAATTCTTCTCCAGAAATTCCAGGCTAAGAGTGTTACATGTGGCATTCAGGAGTTCTCAAGACCACCCTTCCTTCTGATGCCATTTGCAGATAGGGTTTCCCAAAAGTTTTACATTTCATGACTCACTAAGACTCAGAACTGAGGAGAGTCATTATATTCATAGTTGCAGTTCATTACAGTTCCACTCATCACAAGAAGGAAGCACAGAAGATAGGGTCCAGAAGACCCAAGACACTTGGTCCTATCTCATGGCCTTGCACAGCAGTGCCTGTTTTTCAGGAACAGCAGTGTACATTGAGTATCATCAATTAAGGAAGCTCATCTGTGTGTTGTGTTCAGTTTTTATTGAAATACTGGGCAAAATACCTAACACCTGTAGTTTAAAGAAGGTAAGATTAGCTTTGGCTGTGCTCATGGTTGACAGTATGGCAGAAAGGTCTGGGCAGAGGAAAGCAGCTTATATTGGGGGTCTTAGGAAACAGAGAGAGAAGGGAGGTAAACCTTTCCTGGGTCAGTCATCTTCCAAGAGCCCCATCTATGCACCAGGCTCTCTCCGAGCTAGGTGAATAAAATCCATAGCAGTGACTGCATGTGCTCAACCCAGTGTGTTGAGCTAATCCTCCAGTGGCTCCACAGTTTGAATTGGTTTTGTGTAGCCCAAGGCCCTCATCATAATCTCTATTGTTCGCCTATCAGTCATGACCCAGCTGTCCCACTTAAATTGAGATATTCTATTTTGTGGGGGAGATTCCTAGGAATTCAACACAGCAGGCAAGCACTCTGCCTGTGAGGCACTTTCCTGCCAAAACAGTAATATTCTTTACTAAGCAAGGGATTATGTCTCAGGAGTGCAGGGCAAAGACCAGATCTCTCTTTGACCTAAGTTAACTCAAAATAGGTAGGCTACATGGAAATAAATATAATGAGGAATTATTTATGAAGCTCTTTACATATTAATTAAAAGTATTTGATTAAAATTATTTAAATTGTGATTTATCCCAGTCTCCCCCATGTGGGAGCAGGTGTGTGTGCTTGAGTGTGTGTGCGCGTCTGTATATGGTGTAAGGCATCTACCCCAGGGCCTCATGTCTATCGGGCATGCACAGTATTACTGAGCTCTACTTTAAGGCCTCATCATTCCTTGTTTCAAGTTGCATGCCATTGAGTATGTCCTCTGCCTTCGGACCGAAACTAGAGGACTGCCAAATTGTATTTCAGAACAATTGTTTTATCTAAATGTTTCTTTACATATTTTGATGCTTTTCACAATCTCAGGCAAAAAGAACTATATCATCAAGCAGACAGAATGTCTAATCACTGCCTCCCCCGCTCCCGTGGTTAGCCAGGGTTTGCAAGGTGCATAATAGAGCCTCCTGTGTACTATCCTACACCTCACTGAGCCCAAAACCTACTTCTACCGTGGCCTGGTATCTGAGATCCAGTATAGAAACAAGGGATGAGTATTTGGAGTTAACCTTGCTTGCAAATAGCTCAGATTCCTGCTAGTAGAAAAGCAGCAGATTTTGGCCTGGGATGAGCATTTAGGAACGAGGGCAGCTGTTTAGCTGTTTGAATAAGTTCCTACTGGTTGAACAGCAGTGTACAGGCCTGATAGTACCTCTGAGTGATTCATACACATCTAATCACTTCTATCTTTTGGTTTTGGTTTTATTACTAATAAAATTAATTGAAAGCCACCCAGTGGGACAGTCACACATGTACTACAGGTCATTCCAGCCTCTCAGCAGTGAGACATGAATTGCAGCCCCATCATGCATGTGTTTAATTTCTTTTTTAAATGGAAGTGGAAAAATGTTATCATCTTTTTTTTTTTTTTTTTTTTGGTACTGGGGATCGAACTCACGATGTAGTGCTTGCCAGGCAGGTGCTCATGCTGCTGAGCTAAATCCCCGGCCCAAAAATGTTATCATCTTTAGAAGTTTGTAGCTCCCCCCGCCCCCCAAAAAATGGGTCTTGCCACTGTAGGTTGGCAAGATTGCCTTCAAACCCGAAGTCCTCCTGTATCTGCTTTTGAAGTAGTTAGGATGACAGGCATGTGCCCCTGCTCTTGGCCACTCTAAAGGTGGTTTTTGTTTTTGTCTTTTTTTTTTTTAAAGGTGGGGTCTTGCTTTATAGTTCAGAATGGCTTTGAGCTCACTATGTGGCCCAGGCTTGCCAGACTTATGCAGTTCTCCTGCCTCAGCCTCCCACATACTGAGATTACAGGCATGTACTTTCACACAGGGCTGATGTTTTTAAATAGAATATATCTTAGGCTGGGGATTTAGCTCCGTGGTGCAATCACCTGCCTGATAAGTGCAAGGTCGTGAGTTCTATTCGCAATATGGGGGAAAAAATTTAGAGTATTTTGCAGAGATGTTTGAAAAAAGTTCATCTGGCGTGTGGTTGAATGGGAAGAGTGTCTAAGGTAGAAATATTACTGTCATGCCATCGCAGAGAGATGAGTGGATCTGACATCAGTGGTCTTACCTGAGAGGGGTGATGTGTCCAGGGGGCTTTGTGTATATAAAATTCAGTGTGGCTGGTGACTCTGGGAACTGTAAAGCAAATCTAATGTGGGTTCGGGCTGAGTGGACAAACAGGTTGCTATTTCCAGAATAGTGAGGGTAGAAAGAGATAGAGTAGTGAGTGAGCTTAGGAAAACAATGGAATTCCTCTGTCTCTGCAGCAGGTAAACTGTGTCTATGCACTGTTTCTTACAGGGCCTGAGTCAGCATCTACTTTTTAAAAACTGTCATTAGCTACATTCTTCTCAAATTAGGTATTTCCTTTTGTTTTTCAAGAGTAGGAAGAATTAAGCTGGTCCGATGGCAGTGGGTTATCAGAGCTTATTAACATTAGTGTCACTAAAGTTGGTATACCACCACCCCCCACTGCTAAATTTGCCTGGCTAAAAAAAAAAAAAAAAAGAATAGGGAGAATTTGTTGAGAGAAAGATAGTGTCTGTCTAAAATAGAAGGAATGTGAAAGTGGGTTGCCCAGATTTTTTCTTTTTATATAATCCCAGACTTTACACAGACTTTCTTATAGCTAGCCAGCCAGCCTGTCTGCCTGACCTTCTTTCTTTTTCTTCCTTCTTTCCTTCCCCTTCCCCTTCCTCGGCCCTTTCCCTTCCCTTCCCTTCCCCCTCCCCTCACTCCTCCCCCTTCTTTGGATTTTTGAGACAGGGTCTCACTAGTCCAGGCTGTCCTTAAACTCACTATGTAGCCCAGGCTGTTCTCGAACTCAAGGCAGTCCTGTCTCAGGCATGCACCACCAAGCCCTGCTTTATAGCTACTTTCTGAGAGCTTCTCCTATATCAGTTTTATAAAGAGCTGCTAGAGTGTGGGAACTATGTTGTTTTTCTTTCCTAGTACTATATTTTGGTCCATGCATGATCAATCAGTGTTTATTAAATGAATACATATTTCCTTATATTCTGTATTCCATAGTGTGCTTTTTTTATAAAACCTAATAGTTCACATTTTGCTCTGGCCTCACATTCTTGTAGTCTCATGGGAATTTGACACCAAAGATTATATCATGGAAAGGTTTGTTCTCCTTGGTCTTAGTTACAAAGTTAGCCTCCACCTCTTCCCCTTCCATGTTCATCTTTTACTATCTCCTATAGATCCATATTCTTTTTATTTCCTTTGTAACCTACACTGTAATGTACTTTGTTTTACTTTTGCAAGTTCAGCTTTATACTATTTGGATTTTTAATCTTCTTCACTCAAGAGTTCAACTTTATAAACCCTTGCTTTTTAAAAAATTAATGTCACGTAGCCCTCAGGAGATTGAGGTAAGAGAATAGTCACGAGTTTGAAGCCAACTTGAAATACAGAGCAAGACCCTATTTCAAAAAAACTAAAAAAAAAAACCCTCAAAAGTGATGCATGTAGATTATAGCACACTCAAACAATACAGAAATACAAAAAGTAAAAATAGTGTACCAGGTATTGACATTTAACAAAACAAAAAGTCAAATACTAGGGAATACTATATATGAAGTTTTTTTAAAATAATTTATTTAATTAGTATTGGAGAATATCCAAGATTTTTCTTTCCATTACAATAATATGCTGCAGTTAAAACTCTTACATATATATTTTAATACACTTACGTTAGTATGTCTATTGGCTAGGTAACTAGAAATGTCATTGTATATTATATTTTATTTTAAGTTTTAATAGATTCTGCCAAATTGATTTCTGACAAGTTATATTCTCTCCAGCAGTACAGTTTTGCTACAAGCCCATCAGTATGAAGGCTTTTATCCTCATTTGGTGGCTTTCCTGTCTTATTGAACTTTGGGTGACACTTTTCAAGTGGCTTCGATTAAGACTGTGCATCCAGTGTTGTTGGTGAGCCATTGTTATTTTGTGTTAAATACTTGTTTCTTTTCCAGTTATGTAAAATCAAATAGTAATAATGGAAATAGTGAATACAATTATAATAGCCTGAATAAATCACATAATGACTTACAGGTAGAACAAAAGATCACACAAGAAACATTTTCTTACACATTTTGACCTATACAGATTAAAAATTGAAGGGTAAAAATTCAAGCGAACCAATCATAGGAGAGGCCATTAGAAATTCTCTTTTTTAACTGATTTTTTTAAAGATGGAGGAATTAAATTTATATTTTTAAACATTTTAAGGTAATATGGTGATAATATGTATATGTGTATGTATTTATTTGAGACAGGGTCCTCACTATGTAGTCCTGGCTGTCCTGAACTCACTGTATAGCCCAGACTGGCCTGGAAATTTGTGGCAGTCCTCCTGCCTTGGTCTCCCAAGAGCTGGAATTACAGTTGTGTCTTACCACCTATAATTCCAGGTGTGGAGAGTCCTTCAAGCTGAAATTTGAAAAATAATGAGTTATAAGGCAAATGTAAAAGAAAAAAGGATAGAAGGAAGAGATCGATGTAAAAAAAGAACATGATGTAATCAAAAGAAATAAAAAACGTGGAGCAGTTTAGTTTATTGACACGTAGAAGTGTGCAATAAGGGTGGTCAGGAATTCAGACTGGATCGCGGCATGGTGACACTTGGGACCCTGACATGAAAAGGTTGTCAGAAGTTAGATTAAACATGGAGGAATGAGAAGGCGATAGAGACCAGTGGATCATGAGGTCTACAACAAACTTGGGGCAGTAGGAAAAACAGGTTTAGGGAGGAAAGTAATAATCATGTTTCATAATTATTGCATTGTTGGGCATCGTGATGCATGCCTGTGATCTAGCACTTGGAAGGCTGAGGTGGGAGGGGGTCACTACAAGTTGGAGGCCAGCTGGTGCTGTATAAGTTCAAGGCCAGCCTGGACTGCATAGCAAAACTCTGTCTCAAAAAACTTAAAAATAAATAAATAAATAAATCATCAGCATGTTATATTTTATTAGTGTTTTTCTTAAAAGAAATTATGACATAATAGTGCATTAATATCTGCTAGCTATTTTTCATGTGTTATTTCATTGTCTTTTATCATTGAGGTTACTTTTTTATGTAGAAGTTTAGAATTCCCTGTAAGTTCTTCATAACATTTTCATACAGCAAAATTTTCTAGTACTGTTTTACTATTTGAAATATTACTATGAGCATTATTTTTAAGTCTCCATTAAATTTGTATAGTAAATGTGTATATCTTCTTTATGTCCAGCTTAATATATTTGAAACTAACTTTCATTCATTCATCTCACTTTTAAACTAGATTCCATGGCAACTGCACTTTCTCTTTTTCTTTTTTTTTTTTTCCCAAGGTCTTGCTACATAGTTTAGGCTGGTCTTTAACTCACTGTGTAGCCTGGGTTGGCTTCAACTCATGATAATCCTCCTGCCTCAGCCTCCCAAGTGCTAGATTACAGGCATGAACCACCACACCCAGCCCAACTGTACTTTCTCTGAAACATTTATAGCTGTAAGAATATTCAGTTGGTCAGGTTGGGTATTTAGCTCAGTGGAAAAGCTCCTGCCTGGTAAGTACAAAGTCCTGAGCTCAATCCCTGGTGCAAAAAAAAGGAAAAAAGAAATCACTTGGTCATAGAGTCAGGACTGGCTCCTCTAATGTGTTCCTCTAAAATATGTTTACTCATAAACCTTTTTGCTTTCATGTTTCAGGCTCTTATTCTGAGCATGGCTGTGCCCGCCATAATAGGTCTCAGTTTATGAAAAGAGGTAAGAAAACCAGGTTTTCAGTTACTAAAATGGATTTATACATTTGGGTAGAAAACATGTAAAACACCGTTCTAACAAAGTGTGATATACTTAGCAGTTCTTCTTTTGTTGTTCTTTGTCATTGGAATATGATAAAATAGCCAAAACATTTTTAGAATGCCATCACTTGATGCAGCTTTCTGTAATCTGATGCCATGGTTAATTCATTTGATGAAAGAAATTACTGAATAAATAATTAATATTTTTAAATGTTTTGATAACTCCAAAGTTTTAATATCTATAAAATTATAAAGCTTTGACCTGGTTTTTTTTTTTTTTTTTTTTTTTTTTTTTTTTTTTGAGGTAGGGTCTGCTTTGTAGTTCAGGTTAGCCTTGAGCTCACTGTATTGCCCAGGCTGCCCTCGAAGTCTTGGTAACCCTCCTGCCTCAGCCTACAGAGTGCTGAGATTAAAGGAATGCACCATCGCGCCCAGATTGGGTTTATTCTTCAGTAACATGAAACTAATTGACAATAAACCTACAAATTATTTGACCTGAAATTTAATTATTTACTTAGTATGTGTATGCATGCAAGATACAAGTGGTGATTATTAATATTAAAATTAGTTACTGAGTCTAGGCAGTGAATTAACATAAGGTAGATTATTTGTCTTGAGAAAACTAAACAGGTCATATAAGAATGTAGAGATCTATGTCATTTTTGTCTATGTTAGTTGCGTTATGGTGGCATTTGCTTTAAGTTAGTCTTTTAGTTTTTTAAGATTCTCTGGGACAACTTTTTAGTTACACTATCTTTTCAGGATTTTGTTTTGCATTTTAGTTTTTTCCCAGATTAATGACAGAGTTAACGGAACTACAAGAATTCTATGATCCAGATACAGTGGAACTTATGACCTGGATAAAGTAAGAATTGTCCAATACTATTCTTTTTTTTTTTTTTGTCTTTTTCCTTTTTATCGGTACCAGGGATCGAACTCACGACTGCCTGCTTGCAAGGCAGGCACTTATGCCGCTGAGCTAAATCCCCAGCCCCTCCAATACTATTCCTAAGCTATTAAATTTAGCTATTGCTATGACATGCTATCCAATGGATTCAGGGGAAAGAAATCATTTTCCAAATTCCCATAAAACTCAGAAATTTTATTTTGCGTTTTTAGGGGTATTTAGTTTTTTGTTTCTTTGATTGGTTGATTTGGCTTGGTTTTTTGAGACAGTATCTCAATATGTAACTCAGACTGGCCTTGAACTCACAGTAATCCTCCTGTTTCAGCCTCCAAAGTACTGAGATTATAGGCATACACCCCCATGCCCAGCTAGTGTTTTAGTAGACTTTGTATTTCTAATTTCCTAATTAAACTCACCTTCAGGGACTTGAACATGCAATATTGGTATGAGATTGAATTCTTCCACTGTCAAACCCCCAGAAATATGGAATTAAAACAAGTAGGGTTTTTGTTGTTGTTTTTTGTTTTTTTCATTTTGAGATACCATCTTGCTATGCAGTTTAGGCTGACCTTGAGCTCACTTTATAGCAAAGGCTAGTTTCAAACTGGCAACGATCCTCCCACCTTAGCCTCTTGAGTGCTGGGATTATAGGTGTGTGCCACCTAGCCCAACAGAATAGGTATATTTTTATTTAGAGAGTCAAGAGGATGCTTCTTTTGCTGTGAGTTTCAGGAGATGGGAGTAGTTGATGTTCTTGATAGCCAGGATGTTTAGATTTTAATTCCCAGGTGGGAGAAGGGATTGGTCTTGGGCCTCTGACAGCAGATGATAGAAATGAGAATGCTCTTCAACATCAGGGACTCTGAAAGGTATCCTGTCGGTGAAGGCGTGTAAAGGTACCACTAGGTGGTAGAAAAGAAATGATAGACTGAGAAATAACCTAACAATAGAGCACTTCTTTGTTCAATCCTTAGTACTGCCCAAAACAACAAGAAAGTTTATTCTTGCCACTGTCCAGTTATTTTGCATTGTTTTAACAGCATTATTGCTACCTATCACAGGTGTTTATGATTTTCTCCCCGTACATCCTCTTTTCAAAAATGTGTCTTCAACACTGAAAACACCTCTTGTCATATGGAATGCAGGTTTGTCTTATTTTGTTTTGTTTAAGATGAATCCACCAATGAAATGAAAACTGATTGAAATTGAAGTGTATTTTACATTGTAAGTTTTCTGGTGTTTTGGAGTTGATATAAATTAATGATCTAACTGCATATTACTGTTTCATGGTATAAATCGTTTGGCCCTTTGCAGACGACAGGCTCCAGTTGCAGCTGTGTTTACAGGGAGTCCACAGTTAATGGGCACTATTAAATTGTGCACTGGATGGATGGTGACAAGCTTGCTTCTCTATAATGATGATGATCTTCTCAAGAGAAATGAAAATGTAAGGCATTTTAAACCCTACATTTGGATGTTTCACCACACTGTTTATTTTAATATAGTTCTCCAGTGATGTGTATATTTCTGCTAGCTAAGAAAAGCTAAACAGGGCCGAGGATTTAGCTCAGCAGCATTGAGTGGCTGCCTGGCAAGTGTGAGGTTGTGAGTTCAATCCCTGGTACTGAAAGAAGAAAGAAAAAAAAGCCAAGCAGTTTTAGACAAGATCAGTGCATTCAGGTTGATAGGGCTGTAAATCCAAATAATTTTAGAAGAATTAATTAGGTTTAGTTTTTAAAAGTTATATAAGACATTTAACCAAGGGGAAATCCAAAGTTAAAATAATAAGTTATTTGTTTTATGAATAGTACTGATGTATTTCTAGGAAAAACATTTACTTTTCTATCAAGTATCCAGGGAACTGATGTGTAATATTTTAGAAAGGAAAACATTTCTTTGAAAACATTGCAATTCTCGTTGAAGGAATGATAGCTATCAGTTAATATGCCAATTCCTAGTGGCTTCCCAAGCTAAAATTTAAATTTGTGGTTATTTTTTAATATGGGCTTTTATTAATTCTCCAGTACTAAAAAGGTTAAGAATGTAGACTCTCATGTTAGAGCACCTGGAATCAAATTCTAGTTCTGTCCACACTAGCTTGGAGACCTTGAGTAAGTTACTGACTCTGGAAATAATAATTGTTCTCTCTTCCTACTTGTGACAATTAAATAAGAAAATGTGCTATGCTTAAAACACAGTAAAATTTAAAGTTAGCTATTATGGTGTTTTATTGTGCACTGTTAAATCATAATTTTGTATACATGAATATACATGTACACAAAGAACACAGAGAAGTCCAAAATTGAGCACAATCAGTTCTTCTACAGAAGTCTAAGAAATCAACTTTGATATGGGTCTTGATGGTTGATTAGAAACTTGTTTGGAAAAGGAATGCGAATGCTTCCAGGCTGAAAAAAGTTATACAAAGACAAGAAAAAAAAATTTTGTTTTGTTTTGTTTTGTTTTGTTTTGTTTTGTTTTGTTTTGTTTGGTACCAGGGATCAAACTTGCCAAGCAAATGGTTATGCAGCTGAGCTAAATCCCCAGCCCCAAAGACAAGAAATTTGTATGGCCACAAAACTAGAAAGTAAAAGGGAGCCCAAATTCAGAAGGATCTGCAATGTCATGCTGACGGATTTTGACCTGTCCTTGAGGCAGTTGGAGACAAAGACCTTTAATAAGCCTGGCAATGGAAAGATTCTGTCTGTTTTAGAAAGTTAATTATAGTCACAGCAGAGAGAGCAGATTGAAGCCAGCATAGGAGAGATAAGAAGTGGGGAGAGCTAGCTCAGGGTGATTTGCCTGGGAGACAACAGCCATCTCAGATTAGTAATTACAGTACTTCAAAGAGATGTTGCTCAGGCAGAGTATAGACAGCATACCCCTGAACTTTTATTATTTATGAATTTAAAAAAAGTAATTCTAGGGCCAAGAATTTAGCTCAGTAGCATAAACGCTTGCCTAGCAAGCACAAGGTCATGAGTTTGATCCGTGATACCAGAACAAACAAACAAAAAGTAATTCTATGACTTTTCTTTCTTTCTTTCTTTCTTTTTTTAAGGCTGGCCTTGAAATCTCTATGCATCCCAGCCTGGCCTTGAACTTGTGATAATCCTCCTGCCTCAGTCTGTTTTCTTTTGATAGGACCATTTCCTTGCACAGACTTTCAGAATCACTTGTAATTAGGTCAGAGTTCTAGTGAAGTTCTAAATAATTTAAACATTTTAGAATTTTCAGTTTTATGGAAATAGTAACCATGGCTCTGAAAATAGCAACCGTGTTCCCATGTTTCTTCCCAAACCTTTATCTTTCTCTGTGATCTCATACATAGCAGATACCAAATAACTGTATTGTTCTATCCAAATCCAAATAGAACTCCAGGAATAAAACTATATGATTTAGACACTATCTCTAGTTTATAACATATGACCAATCTTTACCTAATTTCCTAGGCCAGTTATTCTCAACCTGAGATGATTACGTCCCCAGTTGACATTTGGCAACATCTGGAGGATACATTCTGGTTTGGCACAGCAGATGGTGGGGATCTTCGGTAGAGACCAGGAGTCCTGGAAGACATCCTGCAGTGCCTGGAGCAGTCTCCATTCTATCCCAGCAGAGAGCTACCTGGCCACAGTGTTGGTGCTGCTGAGCTTGAGAAGCTGTCCTGGGCTGTCAGCCATATCATTGCCAATACATGGAAATGTTTTTAGTGCCCAGTGTGTGTTACAGTTTCCTTAAATTTATATATGTGTAAACAACCATCAGTGGGTATAGGCTGGATAAGATAGACCCATTCCCCTTGAAACTTACTTAGCACAACTAGCTGAGCAAGCACCTCCCTTCTGATCTGTTAACATTCTGACAATTTTCCTTGTCAGTGGATATTGAACCTGATGGCCCCTAAAAACCTTCATCCATGACTCAAAGCAGCACAAACTACTGAGTGTTCTTCAAGTAGTTTGGAATCCTGTTCAGGCTAGATTTTAAGTCTCCATATTTGCAAGACAAAAGGTATTCCGTACTTAAAGAGTCGGCAAACGTATTGCCTTGCATATATGAGGCCCTGGATTTGATCCTCATCACTCAAAAAACAAAAGTCTACCCAGACAAGACCTAATTCTGACACAAACATCTCTTACCTCTTGCCCTGTTGTTTTTAACCATAAGATAGAAATCTAAATAATTAGGAATTTTTATTTTTTTATTTTGAAGGGAATAAAACAAAACATTAAAATGGGATAATACAAAGCAGTGAAAATGACACAGAATTTCAAAAACAAGACAGATGGAAATCCCCCATAGTTGCTTTAATGCATATTGTTATCCTCTGAACGGATGCTACCAGCCCCAGTCCTGCAAATGGATCAGTACAAGTATTAAGTTGTTTCATGTATTCCTCTGAATCAGGAATCAACCGGTTGTTTATACAGGACTGGGGAGGCGGTAGTGTGGGTGGTAATGGTGGTGGCTCTTCTTGTGTCCCATCCCACATATCAGCTGGCTCCCGAGAAAGGAAGGACTGGCTGCTTGCAAGGCAGGCGCTTATGCCACTGAGCTAAATCCCCAGTGCCCCCCCCCATCCATTCTTAATAGTCTTTTGGAGACAAATGTAACAGTTGATTCTGCCACTCTATTTCTGATGGGCATTTGATGATACCCAGTTGTCTTAGTAGATGGTACATTTCTAAAAAATTATACAAGCAGGGAGATCTTTTTCAAATGTGAATGGGGATAAATGATGGAGCAAAGGAAAACAGAGTGGGGATAAAAGGAATGGAAAAAAGATTGAAGAAAAGAAAACACAAGTAGAGATTTTGCAAGTAGCAAATGGACAAAATGAGAAAATAATTCAGATGTGTTATGCACATGTACCAGCCCACCACACTAAATATAATCATTATGAACGAGCAAAAATTAGAAATTATACATTTTTCCAGATTATCTAGTCTGCTGATATATAGTGGTCCATACCACTCTCATAATCCTTTTATTTCTGTGGTTTTACTTTTTGATCTTAAGAAAGTTTCCATCTATTACTAGGTTTCTAAATTTTGTCTCTAGTTTTTGATTTTGTCAAATGTTTTGTGCTATTTCTGTTGAGCTAATCATATTTTTGTCTTTAGCTTCTAATGTGAGTTATACAGCTTTATATTTTTAACATTAAAGCACCATTTTTATAGACATCACTTACGCACAATGTAGTTACAGTTTTATGCCTGACTAGAGTGGCTTCACTAAAATTTTCTTTCTCATTTTCATATCTATGCTAAGAAGAGGTGTGCTCTGTTCTTTTCCTATCTCATAATGTCCTTTTCCATATTTAATGTCAAAGTTATACAGGCTTTGAAAAACATATTGGATGTTCTCTACTTTTACATTCTTGGGGAAGAATTTGTAAGCATTCAAATGTGGATTTTAAAAAGTTATGATAGAACCTAGCCAGATGGGAAGGTCCTTGTGCAGCGATTTTAATTGGCACAAAATCTTTTATAGATAGAAAAGTACTAAGATTTTCCTTTTTTGTGTCAGATTTTGATATGATACAGGGTATAATTATTCATTTTGAAGTTTCAGTGATCTTTAGAATTTATTTGTAATATGGGAATAATCTAATCAATACTCTAGCTCCAAAATTTCTTGGTAAGATTTAGCATTCACGCTTCATTTTAAAAATTAAAGTATCTATGATGCTGAAGCAAAGAGTGCATTAAAAATTATATAGACATAGGGTATAAGATATTGCTTATATTTATTCAAAAATGTAAACCTTGGTATAAATGCCTGCTGTAAATATCATAACTCACATAGGTGTTTTAATATATTATAGATAATATGTAGTATTACTTTATCACATTTGTTCAGTATGCTAATAAAACTCTTAAAACATAAAATGGGGTATAAATCAGAAATAAATTCACAAGGATTTAAAGGGAGAAAAATGGTGTTTCTGTCTATGTTCGTTAAAATTTGTGATGACACACATTCAGAGAACATTAAAATTGTTATTAGCATTAATTATTGAATGTAGGAGATATGTGGCAACATTATTACCTAAAATTCACAAAATTTATATTTCTATACATAGGTATTAAACAGAAAATAGATCATTTTTAATGTATTATTTCTAACAGAAACAACATTAATAATTAAGAAACTAATTTACCGATGTGTGCACAAATGCTTGGAAAAATTTAAACTTAAAATGTTCTTTGAATAAAAATACAGATATATCATGTTTATTGGGAAGATTATTGAGAAACTTATTGTAGACATAACAAGTTCATAATTATTTTGTGTTACAAATTCTAAATTTTTTAATTTGCATGAATTTTAAAGACTTCAAAATCACTGAAAATCTCAGCATTTTGTGGCATTGCATCTCTTAATATGTAACAAGATAGTGAACCTAGAAATAAATCACACACTTACAGCTACATGACTGCTTTCCAAAACACAACACTGGGAAGAACATTCTTTCGAAGAAATGGTGCTGGGAAATCGGATGCCCACCACACTGAAGATAATCATTATGAATGAGCAAAAATTAGAAATTATATGGTTTTCCAGATTATCTAGTCTGCTGATATATTAGTGGCCCATAACACTCTCATAATTCTTTTATTTCTGTGGTTTTACTTGTTGATCTTAAGAAAATTTCCATCTATTACTAGGTTTCTAAATTTTGTCTCTAGTTTTTGATTTTGTCAAATGTTTTGTGCTATTTCTGTTGAGCTAATCATATTTTTGTCTTTCGCTTCTAATGTGAGTTAGGGTTAGCTTTATATTTTTAATATTAAAGCACCATTTTTATAGACATCACTTACACACAATGTAGTTAGAGTTTTATGCATGATTAGAGTGGCTTCACTGTGACCCTCTGTTGCCCTGCCCTGAGTCCGTGTGGCACCATAAACCATGTGTATGAAGTGCACAGTGGCAGAGGCCCATTTGCTTCATTGCTGGGTGCTAAACATGGAGCAAGAGGCAGGGTGAGGTCGCAGCCTCTCCTTCAAGGTTGCAGTGCTGTGACCTGAGTCCTCCAGGAGATTCCACTCCCCATTTGGGCCTGGGTTGAGGACCAGCCCTGCACCACATGGGCCTTCTGGGACATTCAAGGCCTGAAGTACAGCAGGCTCTCTCTGGGCACTTTTATGACAGTGTGGTTTGTCACCCAGATGGGAAGTGTTCTACCAGAGGCTTCAGAAAATACCAACATGACTGCCTGTGCCCCATCCCTCCAGAAATAATTAACTGGGTAGGAAACAAAGGATCACAAACACGTGTGTTGTTACCCAAGAGTGTGAGCATTGTTCTGAGGAAGGGCCTGAATAAAGGTGCACTGTTGTGTCACCGTCTGGGCTTCCGGTCTGAGACGTGCAACAGCAGGGAGGGAGATGTGTAGGGACGACAGGATGGCTGTGCCAGAGGCAGGGCTGTGGCCCAGGAAGGCGCCTCTTGCCTCGGGTGCTCTGTTGGTCCTTGTGGTCTAAGAGCAGGGAAGGCAGAGTCCTGAGGTGGGCTAGGTCTGAGACGACTCACCCTTCAGAGAGTGGGAGATCGGGAAGTTGGGAGACACAGGCTCATTGAAACAGATGGTGGTTCAGGGACTTGCTGGTCTCCAGAGGTGCATAATAGGGCTGTGAGTTAGGTCGGTGTGACCTGGTGACAAAAGACAGCCAAGAAGCACTCGCTTTCCAAGTTGCGAGAAGCCAGAATGTCAGTGTCGGTCAGGAGCAGTGGCCCCTCGGCATCAGGAAGCTGGGATTCCTGAGAGCCCAATGCAGTCTCAGGTCCCAGAGCAGGTCTCAGGGAAAGTTCTATGCATCTGGCAGCCCAAGATGGACACTGGATTTGGAAAGGGATGTGAAGGGCACTTTTCCCATGATGCACAGGGTTGGACTGGCCCAAGGGAAAAACTGACAGTTTGGTTTCTCAGAGCCAGGACTCAACTAAGGTTCTGAGTTGGAGTGAATTTATAATCGGTATAATGGGAAGGAAGGTACACAGCTGGGTGTGCGCAGTGTTCCAGCTGTAGACCTGTACGAGCTGTGCCAGAACTATAGAGTGAATTTTTACATTTTTTTAAACATCCTGTTACCAGGAAGGCTGCATTGCTGTGAACCCCCCTCAGGTCTCCTCCTCACTCTGAATACACTCATCCCATCCTTCTTGCCGCTGTCTGAAGCAGCTCTGGGAGTCCTCTTTCCTGAGTGTCTTTGTATGGCAGCCTCGATACCCTAAATTAATGTAAAGTTTTTCGAGCAATCTTTGTCACACAAAAACATTAGCTGGCCTGCACGCACCTCATTCACTGGATCTGGCACGAAGCAACTTCTGGATCTTCCTGCCAGGTCAACGTGACCACAAAAGGGAAGTATTTTGAACCAGTGCAAAACACTGAGGTGCCCAGGAGAGCACAACTAAGGATGCCCAGGATGCAAGAAATCCGGGGATGCTGCAGAAAGTGGAGGATGGGATGAGTATGTGGAGAGCATCGGAGAGTATTTCTCAATTTCTCAGGATTCATGGCAGTGTGTTTTTACTGTAATACATTTAAAATTTAACTCCAGCACATATGCAGAAAGTATAATTGGAGACTGGAAGATGAGATATTTTAAAAAATACTTTAAAACGGGAAAAATGAGATTTGCTACAGTGATGAGCCTTGCAAAAACAATTATCTGTGCCTCATTTGAGAAGGTTGCCATTGCTTTTCATTCTCTTGACTTTCTCATACAAAAACCTACTTGTCTATGAATTAATGCTGGAATTTTTATTCTATGCAAGGGCCAGGATGATTCTGAAAGTGCTGTGAAGTCTGCAAAGTGCTTTGTACAGTAGTGTGATTGCAAAAGTGCAAACTATCAGACACGAGGGCACTAACTATCCCACCCCAGGGCACTAACTTGGAGCTGACTCAAAGCCAGGCTGTTACTGGGACTTTCCCTGCATTTCCTGCACCCTGGCTGACACGTGGTATTTCACTGCCTTGTTTTCCCCCAGTGCTTTGGGCTCCTGGGGGTGAACAGAGGTGAAAAGAGCATGACCTTCAGGATGCTGAACAGTGATGTCCTCCCAAGTTCAGGCTACACTGTCGTAAGGACACCCATGGGGTAAGATCCAGCTGGAATCTTTTTTGCCACCTCACGAGATAATGATTCAGCTCAGGGAATCCTGCATGATAAAATCCGGAGCATCGTCTTCTTCTCCCTGCAGATCTCCCCTCCAGTTGCTACTTCCAGGCTGAGAAAAGAGTATGAATGTGTGGGGTAAAGGTCCAGAGGTTATGTCACAGAGCAGCTGAGTGGGGACTCCCTCCCAGGCTGCCCCAGCATGCACTGGAGGCCCAGGCATGTAAATCAAACAGCAGTACACAGCTGGGGCTGGGTCTCCCTCCTTCTCCTTTGGATAAAGCCTGCCAAATGCCCACATCTAAGTGCGGGCCCAAACGGCTGCATGGTTCAATGTTGGTGCCCTGGTACCCTCTTTCTGGTAGTCATGGCTGCACTGGGCTGGGAGCAGCACACATATTCAGTCCACAGGCAGCAGAGTCTGCAGGAACAGGAAGATGTTCATTCCCTTTGTTCTGCACATGCGTGTGTGCTGCACACCCAGCAGATCTGTGTAGGCTCTGTGGGCAACACACACTCACACACATGCACACACACAGTGTTACTCCTGTGCATCACCCTTAAACCACGTCTTTCACTCATGTTTCCCACAACACATGATTCCCCCTGAACCTTATGAGACTCCCCCTGGGGATGAATTCTTCGCACTTCTTCCTGGGTGTGTGTGGCCCTCTGTCGGTGTTTTTCTGACTCCTCTGCTCCCCTCCAGCTGCCCTGAGCACTCTTGCAGCAGAGCTCCCCAGCTCTGTACCTCTCAGTGGTTGGATTTGCTGCTTGACTCTTGTGGCCAGTTTGCCCCGTAGGAACCAGACTCAGTCTCTGAGTTTCTTCCACTGTAACTTCGCTGCTGTCTTTCCACAGCTCCTCCACCAGCCACATTCATATGGTCCTTCCCGAATGTCCCCACTGCCCACGCTGTTTTCCATATGGGGAACAAGGCGTGGACCTTTCCTCTGCCAGAACAAAACTTGCCGTAACTTGGTGCCTGTTTCAGACTCTGTGGAGCTGTGTGAGGAAAGCTCTGGGTCATCAGGGCATTTTGACCTTGCTACCAATCTTACTGGATTTCAGAGTCTGTTTACCACAGACAAGAGACTCGTTCCTGAAGAGACTTGGAGAATATTGCTCTAGATTCATGTTTTTTTTTATGTATGAGCTCAAATACAGTAACTGAATTTTTTTAAAAAAGCATTTATTGTGTGCCTTTGAGGTGTCAGGAATCAGGTGGACATAAAATTGCCCTTAAACCTATGACCTAGTGTCAATATTTGGATATTCTCTGCCAGTCTAATTTAAATATGCATACATACCTGTTTACCTCTAATTTCATCAGTTATATGGGTTTGTTTGTGTAAATTTAGGTATTTGGGTGATGAGATATGCATATTTCAAATACCAATTGAAATGATAAGGATCATCCTTGGTATGTCACCCCTATTTGTTGTGCTAGTAGCAGTCCTACACCCTCCTCTGTGGCTGAGATTAGAAGTTGTGATGTTCATGAGTGGGTGGGGAGACTTTCCCCTGTTCTCTGCGCTGCACTAACTTGAGTTGTCTGCCCACCTTTCTGTGTCCTTTGTGCCTGTCGCCGTCCAGTTCCTTGGTCCTTTGTCACCAATGCTGCTCTTTTCCCCTTAATACAGGGACTCTGGGTTCTCATAGGAACTGAGCTTTTGTGTGGTTTACATGTTTTAAATGTTTTTATCAGTTGCACCTTTTATTTTAACCTTGTTTTAAAGATTTATATATGCAGACAGTCTCAATTCCAAGCATGTCATTTTACTTTGTTCCCTGTTTGACTTATTGCTTTTTCAAACTTAGGAAAATTTTTGCTTTCTGAGATCATAAAACTGCCCTCCATATTTCTGTTTCTTTTTTAAGGAGCAGAATATATTTATTGAGATAAAGAAGGCTTCTGTCAGAAAGAGAGAGACAGAAGGGTACCGAGTGCAATGCCAAAGAGTGTCTCTTTTCTAGGGACTTTTATAGAGCAAAACCATGAGGTGAGGGGGGTTTGGGTAGGGATAACATGGGAACTCGCAAGGTGGGCATGAGGTGGGGCAAATCTGTGGTCAACCAAGAAGATTAATTGCACAGGTCAAATTGAATAAATTGGGGACAAATGGGGAAGCAAGTCACATAACAAGCTGGCATGCTTAAAGAGCAGTGACTCTTCCTGTAGAGGTTTGGGGTGGTGGCTCCTGGCTTCCTCAGGGTGACAGAGACCTACTTAGAATATCAACTCCTGATGCTTACCCATAGGAAGTATGTAGGTATAATTGCTTGATCTTTTGTCTTGAGGTCTGGTCCACATGATTTGCTGTGACTCTTATTCCTAACCATAAAGTTAGGGCTTGACATTCCAAATCTTATCTAATAGTTATGATGAGATTGGGAAGAGGATAAGTGTTACCCAGATTTCACTAACAAGGAAACTGTGGGTTAAAAAATTGTCTCACCAGAAGTCAAAGTTCTGTAAAGAGTTGGGGATATTTCACTTCTAAATTGTGTGTTCTTCCCACCTGCTGTGAAGAACATTGTGAGAACTCTAAAAGTGGCTGCATTCTACGAGAGAGAAAATGTCAGATATAAAAAAGGAGAGTGGCAAGAGATGAAAATATGTCTTTTGAAGCAACTGACAAGATGAACATATTACAGAGCAACATGTGTTTCTGTGACAGTTGTTATTGTAGCTATCTTTCCTTGAAAATTTGAACACTCAAAGTGGGTTAAGAAGGCAAGACTTACATACAACACTTAGCACAGTATACAGTGTCAGTAGAGAAGTAAAGTGTCTGTGGAGAATGTAATTAGAGTCATCCTTCCACGGAATAAGGGACAGAGATCCTCAACAAAAGTCTTCATTTTTATCCATGAAACTCTAGAGTAATTGCCATTAAAACAAACACACAGACAAAAGTATCAATGGCATTGTTTACTTTTGATCTCTAAAATTTATACACCTGATAGAATGACACAGGTTAGAATAGTATTAATATTTATATAGCTACTGTTATTTTTGTCAGATGATGTATTCAAAATGTTGAAGCAAGTCAACTATGGAATAATGAAAACTGAGGTGAGCAGACAAAGATAAAGTAAACATACTCAGAGCAGGAGGCCTCCTGTGTATCTGCAGTACTGGTTAGAAGATCAAGTGGAAAGACCATTGTGATAGTAACATAAGTATTTAAACTACTTATAAATAGCACTGTAGAGATCCACGGTCTGCATCTGTGTTAAAATCTAGACAGTGTTGTTTTTGAGCAATAGGCCTGATTGAGTACACAGTGGGAAATGTTCCATGGCACTGAATAGAAAGACTGACGTGTGCCTGTGTTACTCTTACCCACCTAGGTTAGCAGTGTAATTTTAATTGACATTGTAGAGGACAAGAGGAGGCTGAACCCAGAAGTTGTGCAGTTTATATTAAAAGATGAATAGATGATTTAATCATGACATTTTTGAAAAACAGTAGAATTGCTTTGAGATATTTCTCAGCTTTATATGGATTCTGTAATAAAATAGTGCCTTTCTTTTTTAACAACTTAAGTGATAGGACAAAAAAGAGGGCAATAGATAAGAACCTAGGAGAGTACAGTGCATACAAATTCAATTTTTGTTCGAAGGGAAAAGGAAAACCAAGTCATCAAAGTTTTCTGAGACCAGCATTTACTAGGATGCAAGGAAAACTAGAAATAATGAATTCATATAAATATTGTTTACTCACTGAGATCATTTTTGTAAACATTGAGTTAATGTAACATTCATGACAAATGCTATGAGTATATCTAAATGTGAGTCTTAAAGTTTGTCTGCAGGTCATATTAAATTTATTTTTTTTTTAATTTAAAGAAAAGAAAACAAAAAATACATGGAGATTAAAAAAAGGGTAGAAATAATACAAAATTACAGAAAAACAAACAGTAAGAAATTGCTGGTTGATAAGTTACACATTGTCATCTTAGAAATAGCTGTTCAGGTTATAGAATTAAAGTATTTAGAATGACATTCAAAAAGTGACACTACAAAACGTTCTGCTCTATGATCGAACAAAAGCTCAGTAATATGGTTATCAGTCCTACACATTTGTTTTACATCTCAAAGAGGGTAAGATTAAACATATCAATACAGAACAAAACAATTTAAAGAAATACAGATTTCAAAGCAAGTCCACTGGAGATCTTCACTGTCTATCTAACTGTCTCTAGTTTCTTACAAATAGTTGTCCCCATCTGCACCCACTTTATATACTTATTGCATATTATAGAACTAATCAAATCATTACAGGATGATGAAGGCTTTTTAGGTCCTCAAGTTCCAAATTAGGGAAGACAATAATAACAACCATCACATCTCTCATTCTCTTTGTGATAGCTGTCCCCATCTCTACATATATGCTGAAATTGAACTCAAGAAACCAGCCCAATGTCATTCTAATCAGTGAACAATAGTATTGCTAGAATTTATATCATAATGCTACAAAATTAGCCTCGGGTTTCTTAGCATCTCTTCCTCACAGTATCTGTTTATTACATCTTGCATTATATAATCTGTTCCTGTAAATAATTTACAAAAAACCCATGTGTGAATTTCTGCATATATATCTATCCTTTCTGTATTATAGGGAAAACCAAGTCGTAGCAAGACAGCAAAATAATTTCCTAGAAAAACATGCAATGGATAAGACATATAAGACCACAATATAGATGATCTTCCGTAGTGACTATGTTTTCTCTTGTTATTTTCAATAGATTTGACCACAACACTGGCTTATTATAGTTAAACATTTTTTATAAAAACTTAACTTTGACAGCATTGTAGAATTTGAGAGCTGTTACTAGTTAATACCAGTATGGATATCCTTTACATCTTGTCATCTTCAGAGTAGTTGCCTCTACTTTTAGGGTTGATACTAACAAGCATACCAAATTCAAATAAGATCAGCCAAGGCCAACCCATAGTCTTATGATTCAGATTCGATTAAGATCAGTCATAGTAAGACAATGTAAATAATACAGGATTTCAGTTTAAGTTAATAGGAAAGTAAGGATAGTTACCATGGTATAACCTGCTATTTTTGGGTCAAGATGTCTGTGCCCTCAAATCTGACATGAGTGGACATACCAGAACAAAATAAATTCAAACTAAATATGGCGATAAGACTACTGTGTCTTTTAAATCCTTATACACCATTAACAATGACCTCTGCCCTTTTTTTAAATAGTGTTTCAGAGCTGTCTATACTAAAGACTATAGCTTACCGTCTCTGCCTCATGTCTGCTACTCCACTTTTCTGCTATAATTTGTCCACCTTATTCCCTCATTCCACTGTCTGCCTCATTCATTGAGGCCTCTCTGCCACTGTTGTTGGAATCCTGATACTCTTCTTCTCTTTCTCTGTAATGTCCTTCAGTACTCTCTGTAGGGTTGGATTGGTGGCCACGAACTCCCACAATTCCTCCTTGTCTTGGAAGTATCTTATTTCTCCATTAATTTTGAGAGAGAGTTTTGACGGATATATGAGCTTTGGTTGCATATTATTTTCTTTCAGGACTTGGAATATTTCTCCCCACTCCCTTCTTGACTTAAGAATTTATGTTGATAAGTCTGCTGTTATTTTGATAATTTTCCCATTGTAGGTAATCTGCATCTTTTCTCTGGCTGCTTTTAATATTCTGTTCTTTTGGTGGATTTCTGGAATCTTGATTATTATATGTCTAGGCGTATATCTGTTTTGGTTGTAGGTAGCTGGTGTTCTGTATGCCTCTTTTATCTGGATATCATTTCTTTTTGCTCTACATAGGAAATTTTGCTTTAATATATCTGTGAATATTCTTGTTATTTCATTTTTGGTTGCTCCTGCTTCCTCACTCACATTCTTTATTCTTAAGTTATGTATCTTTTTGTCATCTTCTAGTTTTTGAATTGTTTCTTTCTGGTTCCTTGTTATTTTTAAGAGGCTTTTTCTTTCACGATCATATGCCATAAATCTCTCTTCAACTTTCAGAAAGCTGTCTTTAGTTTCTGTCAAGGCATTTTGCCAGTGTTCAATGGAGTTTTTAGTTTCCTGGTATTCTCTTTGGATCTGTTTCATGTATTCTAAGTTATGTTTAAATTCTTCTTCAGAAGTTTCTCTTTCTTTTCTGATTTCCTCAGTTCTTCCATCTGTGTTCTCTTGGGCGGGGCTTGTCACTTCTTTAATTAATCTCTTTATATCTTGCCTTACTTGGATCAGGAGTACAGCTTTAAATTCATCTATGAGATCATGAAGGTATTTTTTAATTTCGGCTGATGCTGTGTCAAGCAATGGATGGTTACTGTGCTTGTTCTCTTCAGTGTTTACTTCTCCTGGGCTTATTTTCTCATGTTGGGCAGCTGGAGATTTTTTTTTTTATTTTTATCTCTTGTCATGTTATGGTTTCTTTCAGACTGTCCTGGGGTTCTCTGGCCCTCTCCGTATTGCTTAGGGCCTTTCAGAAGCGTGATGACTTGAGTTTTTGCTGTCCTCCCCAATTTGCTGTTATCTGGGGTAGGCTGGGGTGCAGGGGCGGTACAGGCTAGCCTCCAGCCTCTGTGCCAGTCAATCCGTAAATTAGGCTGTACTTTCTGGATGTCACTGAGTTGTGACTATTTTGTATCTGCTTATTGGGCCCCAAGCAGAGGCTTGGTTTAGCCCCAGTAGCTCCTGCCAGTTCTCTCTGTACCAGAAGCAGCTGACAAATGTCACTATGGCACAGGGTTCTGCCCAAATCGCAGCTGTTCTCTTCCAGACCTCTCTGTGACAGGAGCACCAGAACAGCAGATCTGCCCAAATCCAAGATGTCTTCCACTAGTTCTCTGTATGACACTGAAGCCAGCACAGCTTCAGGCTCTGCCCAATTTCAAGATGTCTTCCACCAGACCTCCCTACAGGGGGACTCGGTGATGTCACCGAGCTGTAGGTTCTGCCCAACTCTAAGATGTCTGCCGCCAGACTCTCTGTGTTATTGATGTCCCCGTGGTGGCAGGCACTGCCCAGTTCCAAGATGTTCTCTGGCCAACCCCAGCAGTTGCGGGGTCCCCAGTACTCACCAGGGTCCACCGCACACCACGCCACCCGCCCTCCCCGCGCTCCTGGCACAGCGTGGAAAGTTCAGAAAACTGCACAGCGTTTGGCTTTGGAGCTCCAGAGCCTTTCATGATCTCCTCTGGTGCAGCGGGGCAGTCCTGGCTGCTTCTCGGGATTTCAGGTCTCAGTTTCCAGCAGTCACCAAAAGCCAACACAGCTTTTCCTGTTGGGTCTACGGGTCAGTTTGTTGATTTAAAGGCATGGGATTTGCAGCCTCCCATTATCAGCCTTCACAGTCTCAGCACGACTTTAAATCCTCGAGCTGCACTGTCTTGGTTAATAAAGAATCATTATCCATTCGTCTGGCCCTTTCCATGTTGTCATATTCTAGCTTCTAATATGATTTCTCCAGAAAGACTCTCCGCCCGATCCCCTAGCAAGCCACCATTTTTTTTTTCTCCTCCAAGAATAACAATACTCTTGGGGGGCAGGAGGCACCATGAATGATTCACGTAAGTGTTAATGTAGACCTCGTCTTCTGAAAGTCCATAGACCGGCTCCCCTAGCCCAGTCGCCATGGAGCTGGCGCCCCGCTTGGGGTCCGAGGAGCTCCCGGGTGGCTGGACTGCGTCTTTCCTCTGCCTCCGCGGCCGCTCGGTCCCACACACAGTCCCATGCACGCCCCGCCGGGGAAGCGGACAAGAGCCGGCAGGTGAGAGCGCCGAGCGCGCGCCCGGGCCACTCCATAATATTAAATTTAAAGTTGACAATAAACATTAAATGAGACAGTGGCCCAACAGATAAAATATATAAAATAGTCCATATAATGATAGTGGAAAACCCTAAAAAGGACAAAAGAACACGAGCTTAAGATAATATGAAAAAAAATGATGAATAAACATTTAAAAATATTCGTCACCACCAAAATAAAACTGCAAAGCAAGTGACAGATAAATATTTGTGTTTATCATTAAAATTATTTAAAAATAGTGCACCATTTTGAGAAAATAAAGTAAAATAGGCACTGTTATCTCTGTCTCTTTCTAATACTTATAATTTTACCAGAGTTCAGGTTGGCTGTAAAATTGTTTGAATTAGTAATTTTCCTTGTAGAAATTTATGTGTGGGAAATGATAGAAGCTCGAATAATGGCTTTAATGAAAAAAATATTAATTTTACTCTTATAGCAGCAAAATCTAGGGCAGTATTGACTCATTAGACACTTAATGATCACTTTGGTCACATTTGGTTAGGGGATTTTTAAAAATGACATTTAATGAGTTAAGATGAAAGACTAGAATAACCTGACTGTGTGCCTATTACCAGATAAAAACTAACCAGTGCTGTCACCTGAGCATTTCTCTGAGGCCAAGCAGTCTCTGAAAGGGCAAGAGGCTGGCAAACCTCAGTGAGACAGTGCGAGGTATGGAGGATGGAAAGGGAAGCCCCGATCTGAGTCCAGTAAGATTTCTAAACAAGAGAAGGGAGACCTTGGGAGACAGACAGGATTTGAAGAGATAACAGCTGGAATTTTTCCAGTATTAATAAAATAAGTGATTCCTGAGATGGAGGGAGCATCACACTCTGCTAGTGTAATAAATAAGAAGATATTCATACGCGCTGTATGGTTGAAATGAAAATTCCAAATATAAAGCCAAAATCATTTTTAAAAAATCAGAACAGAAAGAGCACAGTAATGGAGCAAAATGTAGATCTATGCCTGTTCAAAATAGTATACAGTAGCCTCTTCTGGTGTTTAAAATTACATTTAAATAGGTTAAAAAGACCACGATGAAAAATTTAATTTCTCAGCAACACTGAAAACAGCCCAAGAGCTCCGGAGCTTTGGCTCCAGGCAGTGCAGACCCAGATCATCCCCAGGGTTGCAGACGGTCCAATGTGAAATCCCCAAGTTAGGCCAGAGGCCGGTGTCAGCACAGCAGGACACAGGGGGATATCACAGGTAGGTGCGTGTCCAGGAGTCAGCTGCTGTCCCATCTTGGTGCAGAATCAGAAGCAATTTTAGCCCTCCTTCCTCCCTGTTTCCAAATCCTGGTGAATGATTCTACACAATTCAGTGAGGCGCCCCCAAACTTGTAAGCCACAAGCCCTCTCTGCATATTTCAGACGAACGTTTCTGAAGCACAATGCACTGTAAAGTTTGCATCTTGTTCAGATTTTGTTTTGTTTTGCAGCTCTGATTTTGCCCTTCCTTAAATTTTTACCGAATTATGAGAGCCATAACTATTAGCTGGTGTTATGCCATCGAAGTGCCAAGTGTGATCGGACCAGCACTTGGGAATTTATGCACAGATTACTCTGGTTCATGCAAACCTGTGCTCACCAGGTTGGAAAAGATGCAGAAATCATTTGCTGCTTCTTAAAGCCTCTCATTCCATGGATCTCAAATTAGAGTCATTTAATTCATAACTGCACCAATGAGGAGCTACCTGGCAATCTGTTTTTCGCCTATTTTAAATTAATTGACAGTTTAACCCCACTGATATGGAGTCAGGAAAATAATGGAAAAAAACATATAATTTTAGGTCAAAGCTATTGTTTAAATTCACAATCGTTCCCAATTTGGAAGAAGTTCTGCCTAACTGTGACTCTAAGTATGCACGTGTCAGTGATTTACCTGCATACTTACTTACGAGGTGTGATTAAAAAATACAGTGAGTGTCTTAATGTTTAAGTTTATTCCCGTAAAAATGCCTGCCCGCGAGTCCTCCTTATGGGGATCCCCTTCACTTGGAACCCACTTACTCTGTTGTCCTTGTGGTTTTGGGAATCTGGTTCAGAGTCCTTTTTCCTGAGTGTCCTTCACTGCTCTTGTGGCAGCCTTGACATCCTGAATCCATTCAAAATGTTTTCCTTCCAAGGTCATTTTGACTTTAGGGACTAGACAGACTGTATCAGACCAATAAGGTAGACAGAAACAGCGCCATGTGTTTAGGAGCTGCCTTCCCCTGGGTGGCACTCAGCAGCAGCATTCACAGTGTTTTTTATCACACCTCATGAAAACACTCAGGGAAGACAATGGGATGAGCATGTTTAAGCAAAGTGGAGGACTTTGAAGAGGATTAATGGCAATGTGTCATTTACATATGAAGGTTTGTAAAGATTTAAATATTTGTGGTATGTCTGAGCATCCCTCACGTAATATTAGCTCTTGTATAGGTGCGATGACACTAATTTCCCTTTTATTTCATGGTCTTTCGATTTGTATCACATCAGAAAGTCTTCTAGACTGCTGCAGCCTCTACAGCTCGAGGTCATCCTTCTGTCCCAGTGGGGCGGGCCAGCAGGTGTTTTGACATTTCTCCACCAGACAGTCCCAGTGTCACTGAATCTGGCTTTCCTTGACCAGAGTATCATCACAGTGCTGAAAAGCTTACTGCAGGAAGGACAGCAGTGTGGGTCCCCGGTGGGGCTGATACACAGAGGATGCAAACCAGGGAGCCTCTGAATTTAGCTGTGAGAATTGTAATGGACTCAAGCCCTGTGCGTTAGTTATGCTCCCCTGCTGGGTGCTGACCTCAATTTCAGGGGATCCCCAGAGCACACGAGTATAGGGGTGTTCTTAGCTTCAGACTGCACGTGCTCAGTGCAGCCTGTCCACATGTCACCCCATGTCTGCTGACGGTGTGGTTTCTCTGCTCTGTGGCATCTTCCACATCCTCATAAGGCTGCACTTTTAGTGGAGAACTTTTGTGTGTATAATGTCCTGCTGATTCCTCACGGAGATTGTGCCCTTTAATTTGTTGTTTTTCACTGGCACTTTATCCTACAGCATAGATATCCTCCCGAGTGCCTGCACTGATGTGCCAGTATAACTAAAGTGTCATAGATATTTTGTTTCATTACAAAGTGGTACTACAAAAATTCTGAAATTCCCCTGACAGAAAAATGTCCCCAAGGATTTAGTTAATTAAGAGAAAATGTTCGGTGCAAAGGAATATTGAGAACAATTACTTCTTTTCCCCGACATTTAAGTGTAGAAGACGACTTGAGGTCTTGACTTATTGTAAATAGATTTAGAATCTGTCCCCCCACTTAAGGATCTTCTCATACAGAGCCAAGTTTTCGTTAATGACTAGTATAGACTGCTGGGGACTGGGCATGATAAATTCCCAATACAAGACACCATTTTTGGATCCAAATATATTAAATGTAAAAAGCAATCTCAAGATGACAGTTCATGTGAGAGTTTAGATGTCAACTTCTAAAACTCAGATTGGAATTAGATTGTTGTCTAAGTTCCATGGCACTTCAGGAAAGTCTGTCTTCGAGAACTTTCTTCTGTTTCCAGGGGTCCTGCTGAATGGAAACTCAGCAGTCCCCAGCTGTGTGTGGTCCCCAGATGTAGGATGGTTCCTTGCTTGGAGCTGTTCTCATGTCCCCATGCACATCCACTATGCAATTCTGCGGCCTAAGTAATGCACTGTGTCATTCTCCTGGGATGCTCAGACATCACAGGTGTGGAGAGGCTGATGGTGTTGCTTATAATAAATGACCCACACTTTGCATTCTTCAGGGGCAGAATCTGTGGCCCCAGAGGTAGAAAGCTTTGATGTAGTCATCCAGTATGACACTTGTGGCAGCTGGGTCTTCTGGCAATCACTCATTACTGCATTTATTCCTGTTTTTAAAAAAATTAGTGAATGTTTCTAGTGTGTGATGTATGGAATCGTGGTGGGGAGTTGTTTCATGGGTTTTTTTTTTGTGTGTGTTTGTTTTTTTTATCTTTTTCCTTTGTATGGGTACCGGGGATGGAACTTACGACTGCCTGCTTGCAAGGCAGGCGCTTATGCCACTGAGCTAAATCCCCAATGCCGCCCCGTTCATTCTTAACAGTCTTTTAGAGGCAAATGTAACACTTGATTCTGCCACTCTATTTCTGATGGGCATTTGATGATACCCAGTTGGCTTAGTAGATGGTACATTTCTAAGAACTTATGGAAGCAGGAAGATCTTTTTCAAATGTGAAAGGGGATAAATGATGGAGCAAAGGAAAACAGAGTGGGGATAAGAGGAATGGAAAAAAGATTGAAGAAAAGAAAACACAAGTAGAGATTTTGCAAGTAGCAAATGGACAAAATGAGAAAATAATTCAGATGTGTTATGCACTTGTACCAGCCCACCACACTGAAGATAATCATTATGAATGAGCAAAAATTACAAATTATACATTTTTCCAGATTATCTAGTCTGCTGATATATAGTGGTCCATAGCACTCTCGTAATCCTTTTATTTCTGTGGTTTTACTTTTTCATCTTTGGAAAGTTTCTATCTACTACTAGGTTTCTAAATTTTGTCTCTAGTTTTTGATTTTGTTAAATGTTTTGTGCTATTTCTGTTGAGCTAATCATATTTTTGTCTTTAGCTTCTAATGTGAGTTATACAGCTTTATATTTTTAACATTAAAGCACCATTTTTATAGACATCACTTACGCACAATGTAGTTACAGTTTTATGCCTGACTAGAGTGGCTTCACTAAACTTATATTTATCATTTTCATATCTATGCTATGAAGAGGTGTGCTCTGTTCTTTTCCTATCTCATAATGTCCTTTTCCATATTTAATGTCTTGGTTACACAGGCTTTGAAAAACATATTGGATGTTCTCTACTTTTACATTCTTGGGGAAGAATTTGTTAGAATTCAAATGTGGATTTTAAGAACTCATTACAGAACCTAGCCAGATGGGAAGGTCCCTGTGCAGCGATTTAAAATGGCACAAAATCTTTCATAGATAGAAAAGTACTAAGATTTTCCTTTTTTGTGTCAGATTTTATATGATACAGGGTATAATTATTTATTTTGAAGTTTCGGTGATATTTAGAATTCATTTGTAATATGGGAATAATCTAATCAATACTCTAGCTCCAAAATTTCTTGGTAAGATTTATCATTCACACTTCATTTTAAAAATTAAAGTATCTATGATGCTGAAGCAAAGAGTGCATTAAAAATTATATAGACATAGGGTATAAGATATTGCTTATATTTATTCAAAAATGTAAACCTTGGTATAAATGCCTGCTGTAAATATCATAACTCACATAGGTGTTTTAATATATTATAGATAATATGTAGTATTACCTTATCACATTTGTTCAGTATGCTAATAAAACTCTTAAAACATAAAATGGGGTATAAATCAGAAATAAATTCACAAGGATTTAAAGGGAGAAAAATGGTGTTTCTGTCTATGTTCGTTAAAATTTGTGATGACACACATTCAGAGAACATAAAAATTGTTATTAGCATTAATTATTCAATGTAGGAGTTATGTGGCAACATTAATACCTAAAATTCACAAAATTTATATTTCTATACATAGGTAGTAAACAGAAAAGAGATCATTTTTAATGTATTATTTCTAACAGAATCAACATATGGGTAATTAAGAAACTAATTTACCTAACCCTAACCCTAACCCTAACCCTAACTCACTCCTACATATTACCATACTTGTTATGACAAAAACAATGTGAACCAGCCCCTGTGGTTGAACTCACTCCTACATTTCACCTGCATGGTTCAGAACCACCTGAACAAGACACCCCTGTTCTATTAAACTCATTCCTACATTTTTCCTTCCTGTTTCTGATCCTCCCGATGTGAACCACGCCATGTTGTTAAACTCACTGCTACAATTCACCTGTCTCATTGTGAACAACCCGATGCAAACAACCCCGTGGTCTGGTGTTGGGAGCCTGCCATATTACCCATGAGAATATAGCCACAAGATGGCGTCCGCCTACCGCCTCGCTGCTCCCCCGCCCATCGTGTGCCCAAGATGGCGCACACATCCTGCTTCCTGGTTCTTGCTCGGCTTACTGTCCCCGCCATATATGGTAATGATTGATTGCTTCCTTGTCGCCTCCCAATCGCCTGTCCCCACGTGTAATCCCATGATTGGATAACATTAGCTATATAAGCCCAAGTATAGGAAGTGCCCGACGCACAACACGTAGGAAGCCGTCAAGGACGGACGTGTATTGAGGTTGTAGCCCAGTCAATAAAGGAGCCTGCAGAGACAAAGTGTTCGTGTGCCTCATTCTGTGGGACAGACGCGGCGCTGGACAGCTGGTGGCCCGTACGGGGATCTGAAACCATTTCCGTGCCTTCTGCAGCTCCTGTGACTGTGTTGAAAAACGGTACGTACCTGCGGGTGAGCGGCGGCTTAACCCGGCCCTTGGTGGACGCACTTTAAGGGATCTACTGGTTGACCCCTTGCGGGGATCGACATTGCCCGAAAAAGAAGGGCAGGCCTCTGTTGGTTATTGCGCCTCGGGGCTCTTTAATTTTGTTAAGATGGGCAATGTTAACTGCGGCCCCCTCGCCTTATCGCTGTGGTTGTTACTTAAGGCGTGAGGGATTAGGATAGATAAGCAAACGGTGCTGCAGTTTTTCGAATGTATCGATGGTTTGGCCCCATGGTTTCTGCCCACCGGATCCCTCACTTTACCCTCCTGGGAGAAGTTAGGATGTGATATTCAGTTTGCTGAGGAACAAGGGATGGGTGTCGACCCTATGGTCCACCCCATATGGGAGATGGTTCGGGCATGTCTTAAAGCCGAAAGCATGGTAGGCGCAGCTCAAGGGCTTAAGCAGGTGCGCCATGCTTTCAAGCGGGCACGCTCAGAGAGTTCCAGAGGGGCCTCTGAGGCTGGTTCACCGGATCGCTCCTCAGATTCAGAAGGGGAGGGCCCCCTGACAGGCCCAAAAGGGGAAGACGGCGGCAAGACATGCTCGCACCATGATACAGGACAGGAGACTAATAAGCCCTCTAGAACCTTATGTAAAGGGTTGATGGAGAGCTTAGAGGAAGAGCTCGAGAGAGCGGAGAATGATATACAGGAAGTACATACCCCAGGCGGGACGAGACCAACCCCATCTGCCCCTCCCTGGGAGCCACCCCAGGAAGTGAGCGCACCTGGAGGCTGGGGGCCGCCCCCTCCCTTCCCTGCAACACTTCCATCCTCCGGACGCCGCTCATTTCATGGTCGCTTGTGGGACGTCCTGCGTAGGGGCCTTGCCTCATATGACATCCCCGGTTTCTATCCGGTCTTTCAAGACCAGGCCGGCGCGCCTTATTATCAGGCCCTGGACATGAAAGTGGTTAAGGGATTAAAAGAGGCAGTTTCTACCTATGGCCCCAATGCTCCGTTCACACAGGCTCTTTTGGATAATATAGGAACCACCCCTTTGACACCCTCAGATTGGGCACAGCTTGCAAAGGCATGTTTGTCTCCAGGCCAATTCATGGACTGGAAGGCTTGGAACGACGAGTATTGTGGGGAGCAAGCCGAAAAGAACGCTAGGGAGCGCAATGCTAGATGGAACAAGGATATGCTACTAGGTCAGGGAGCCCATGTGCAAGATCAAATCCGGCACCCTCAGGCAGTTTATGATCAAATTACCAAGTGCGCTATTGCCGCTTGGAAACAGCTTGCCAAGCCAGGCGAACATACCGCCTGTCTTACTAAGATTGTGCAAGGGATGACAGAGCCATTCTCTGACTTTGTGGCCAGGATGCTAGATGCCGCCGGCAAGGTCTTCCCTGACCTCAGTGTGGCGCAGCCCCTGGTAAAGCAGCTAGTCTTTGAGCAGTGTACTAAGGACTGTCGTGCAGTCATTACACCACATAAAAACAAGAGTTTAGAAACCTGGACCAAATTATGTAGAGAAGTGGGGGGACCATTCTCTAATTCAGGTCTTGCAGCCCTGGTGGGCGCTTCAATTAATGCGGCCCTCGGCTCCCGCCCTCCAGCAACACAACAGCAGATGCAAAAGAGTAAAAAATGTTTTGAGTGTGGCCAGCCGGGACATGTCAGGAGGTTCTGCCCAAACAAAGAAGGTAAAGGTACCGCTTCTCAACAATATGGGACATCTGATGTGGGACAAGCGGGCCTTTGCCAACGGTGCCGCAAGGGCCATCATGCTGCTAAGGACTGCCGCTCCGTTTTTGATAAGGAGGGCAATTCTCTGACTGGCCGTAAAGACTCACAGCCAAAAAACGGCCAGAGGGGGCCCTCCTACAAGGCGGGCCCCCTTTCCCTCAGCAGCCCCTTTCCGGGAGTGAACAGCCAGTCAGGGCTACCCCAGGGTCAGCAGGAGTGGACCTCTGTGCCGCCTCTGGACTCATACTAACACCTGAAATGGGAGTCCAATTGATAGAAACTTCATTTAAGGGGCCCTTACCACCAAAGACTGTCGGCCTCCTGCTGGGACGCTCCTCGGTTGCCCTCCGTGGTCTTACGGTCGTGCCCGGTGTTATTGACTCTGATTTTCTGGGTACAGTTAAAATCATGGTGCAGTCTTTACAGGGGACACTGATCATCAATAAAGGAGATAAGATAGCTCAGTTACTCATCCTACCTAGCCTGCATGATCAATTTCCTGCTTGATTTTATTATATATTATGAGATATATGCATGAGCAGCTATTTCAAGGATGACAGGAAATATGGTAGCCACTTTGGATTTACTATTATCTTGTGTGGTAGTCCTTTATTGCTGTTTTGCTTTTATTAGTTCTATTCTGTCCTCTTTTGTTTGATTTTTATACTATGTCTGAAGGTATGGGCAGCTATTTTGAAGATAACAGGCATTATGGAACGACTGTTGATTTCCTATTACCTTGTTTTGAAGTTCTGTATCACTTACACTGTTTTGTTTTGATTGGATTTATTGCCTTTAAAATGAAAATTACAAAAAAAAAATTATGGTCAAGTACTTCTATATATGTTGTATAGTTTTAAGATACATAAAATTCTTGAGAACTTAATTTGCTTATTTTAAAAGGCAATTTACTTGATTTTCAAGAGTTGTTCAGGTGCTTGGGGAGAATTTGTTCATTAAACTTAAAGTATTGTCAAGCACCGTGATGCATCTGTGATTCCAACACCTCAGGAAGTTGAGGTAGGATTTCAAGCCCTGTGTGCTCAACTTAGTGAGACCTTATCTCAAAATAAAAAATAGGGATATAGCTTAGTGCAAAGCCCTAGGTCCAATTTCAAGTAACAAGAACAACAACAAAAACTGTCTGTCTGTCTGTCTGTCTGTCTGTCTGTCTGTCTATCTATCTATCTATCTATCTATCAGTGTTTCCTGAATGTCTGTCTATCTATCTATCTATCTATCTATCTATCTATCTATCTATCTATCTATCAGTGTTTCCTGAATGTTTAAAAGAACCTGCTTTTTTTTTTTGGAAATAGGATCTTACAGTATAGATCAGGTTGGCCTTGAACTTCCAGTAATCTTCCTGCTTCAGCCTCCCAAGAGCTGGAATTACAAGTGTGCAGTACCATACCTGGTTCAATTTCTTTTAAAAATTCTAAAGAAACATATAAACTATTCATGTAATATGAAATACTAGGAATGACAGTATGCTAAATATGATAAAATATTAGTGACCAATTACTTTCTATTTCTACAAAAAACATGAGATTCAAAGATCTATCAACATACTGGTTCAGTTTTAAAATCTGAATGTTAATTAAAACAAAATTATTGCCAATGTTCCTACTGTACTTAAAATGTTCCCTCAGATACTCAAAAAAAAAAAAAAAATACTAGCAGTTTTAGTGCCGGGTTTTAGTTTCAATTTTAATATGATGAGCCACTCATTCAATTAATAATACTAAAGAACAAAGACTCCATTTCATTATACAAAATTTGTCAGATTTTCAGCTCTCAAAGCTTAGGTTTTGATAATATATGCACATTCATTTTTCTGAAGGCAGCATTGAGAATTACTTACATATAACACATTATGAATAAAAATTAAGTAAATTTTTACCTTATAAGAATAGCTAATACAAAAATAACCTGAGAATAAATCCTTTCATTTTATGTAGTATGCTATTTCAAGAAAGGAAATGAAAAATCAATGTTAGCAATAATAAAAATACATTAATAATAGCATTTCTGGTTTTCAAAAATTAATGCCTATTTGACTATGTTACATGAAAATACAGGATAATATTTTAACAAATTCAAAGCACAAACAGAATGAAATGTTGAATGAGTAACATTGTAGGAATTAAAATCAATGATAACACCCAACTTATAATTGTGCTCCTATAAAACACTGTTATTTCTACTAATAAAGCATTTGTCACTATACCTGGTTATATAAATGCCTCTCCTCTTTTACTAGATTGCAAAAATTTAGGGACCCAAAAGAGATAGTCACCATTCTATATAAAAAACCAGAGGTGGTAACAGTAGCTAAAATATATGTTGAATTAAATTATTACAAAAATATTTACAAAAATTATTACAAAAATATTAATTATGAAAATCAAAAGACTGACTTAATACAATTTATTGGGGAAAATGGTTTTAAAGAAAATCTAAAGCATTTTACTGAAAAACGGAAAAAATGGGCTGGGGATTTAGCTCAGCGGCATAAGCACCTGCCTTGCAAGCAGGCAGTTGTGAGTTAGATCCCTGGTCCCGGTAAAAACGAAAAAGACAAGAAAAAAAAAAAGGGAAAAAATAAACAGCTGGCAAAATATAATGCAAAATACATTATAGTTTCATTGCTACCAACTGATTACTTCTTTATTGCTTCAGAGTTCTGGCTTATTTACCAGTAATCACTGTCACTCAATAAAGATGAGCTTTTACTCTAGTTTTAAAATTTGATTATTCATGGAAAGCATAAGGTAGATGGATGGTGCTGTTTTATTGTATTTGCCTAAAATTTGTATTTTTATTTACATGTATTAACATTGAAAGTTTTGAGAGCTGTAACTTAAAACAGCTAAAATATAAGTGAAAAACATGAAGTATATACTCAATATATTCTTAAGAAATGATAAATTTCTTAAGTGAATTTCTACCTTCTTTACAGCTTACTTATCCTTGCTTTTCTAAGAATTAAATTGTATTTCTCAAGTCAAAGATTTTGTTCCTATGAAAAAGTGAACACAATATTCCTACAAATAACTTGTGTCCAAAATAAATTTACTCTGAATATGTAAAAACTAAAAAAATTAATTCAAATGTCTTTAATAAATGCTCACAAGAGAATGTAGTCATATACAGTAATAGAAAAATAACTGAATAAACACAAGAGATAAGAATGTGATCGGTCAGCATAATCTCAACTTCAAATGTAAAGTGAAAGTAACCAAATCTACACAGAAAAATAGGTAGTGTCCTCTATTAGTATGGCCTATTTTAAAGTAGTATATCTTTCTTAAAAGACACATTCTTAAAAAAAATAAAAGCTAACTTTTTAGTGACTGCCCTAGTAAACTACAAATACAGTTTGTTCCCTATATTTAAGTATTTAAAGTAACACATAATTATAAAGTCATATTCCAAAAGAAAGGCCCCTGGGTACTTATATGAGTATTAAATAAAAAGAAGACATTTCTTTAAATTTGCGGCACCTTTTAGAAAAGACTTGCTTAAAAGACATGGTGTGCTATTTATTAATTTATTTACAAAGGTAAAGGTTTTATTTCAAATGTGCCTTGACTGTACTCATGCAGTAGTGACTAGCTAGACATAGAAGTGTACTACTGCCAAGCAAATCTTACACAGAGAAGAACTTAGCTCTGGATTGTGCAACCTAAGCAGAGACTTGTAGAACGGTTCATTTAGATTAGAGAACCTCTAAGTTGGCTGATCAAGTAGATATTTTTAGGAACATGTATCACACTTGCCAAAGCAATGGAGGAAAGTTATCAGTTATATTCCTTGTACTGAGAATGAAACCTATTTTAAAACAACTGCTACAGCCTAAAATCACAGATCACTTATGATGCAATAGGGCTAAAAGTTTACTAAATCTTACCTACATCAAAGAATTAATAACCTCATTGAAGAGTTTAGCAATTTAAAATAACTTATTCTACTGCTGCTGCTGTTCTTTAATTCTCTATAATACAGTAACTGTACTTCCAATATAGCTTTGCTTTGCAAAGGTAGTACTTTCATACATCTTACTGAAATACAGTTTCAAGTACATTATTCTATTTTGTATCTATAGTTCACATAGGGGTTATATAAATATTTGTAAGATTACCTTGCCCATATCTTACATCAACCCTGTCACAGTGAAATTTTGGTTAGTAAAAAGAATTATGCTCCATTTTTATCCCTAATTTAAATCCTGCAAGAATTTAGTTATATTGCACCATGAACCAAGTGATTATAAGGTAAGCTACTAAATAAGTCTATACCTTGATCTAAAGACAAGATACATATAATAAACTTTGCCAATAGAAACGATTACTCAACGAATTATTTTAGCCAATGATGAAATTAAATGTCTCCTTTGTGAGGAAGACAATGAAAAAATTGTATCTTCTAGGAGTTCAGAGAAGGTTGTAGATTTATTTCTACTCTACAGATATCTGTCATTCTAGCCACACAGTCAAAGAATCAGAGTACTACTTAAGACTACAGTCTTCTTTAAATTACAACTAAAACACCTCTGGATTTTACTGTAAGAAAAAGAAAGGTAACTTCAAATACCTAACCAATTAATGTGAAATAATTTCCAAGGTATCATTTCATTTATTACGATTGAAGATTGCCACCTAGTGGATTAAAGCATCCATCCCTCAAGCTACAGTGAGAGTTTGTTTTATTAGCATTTAAGGATGACAATTTTCATTAAAGTTTCATTTAGATACTGAAAAAGTAAAAAATTTTCATAATAATGCCTTATGTCTATTTTCTATGTATTAGTCTTGTGCTAGTTTTTTTGAGATATTTAACAAGATCATATAAATTTAAAGATAGTTATTCAAAACAAAATTATATCACCATTTCTTCAAATAATAAATTCAGAAGCATTATTTTTGAATGATTAAAAGTATGATATACTGGGGCTGGGGATTTAGCTCAGCGGCATAAGCGCCTGCCTTGCAAGTAGGCAGTCGTGAGTTCGATCCCTGGTACCGATAAAAACAAAAAAGACAAAAAAAAAAAGTATGATATACTATAGCTCAATATACTATACATTCATGCTTGCTGACAATTTATAAATGAGTTTATTTAAAGCAAAGTAAGCTTCCCACAACAGCATTTCAATTAAGGAGTCTGGGAAAATCCTGTATGCGTTCATGTTTCTCCACTTACTATTAAATAATAAAGTTGTAAAACTAAAGTTAAAGTGAAAAACATTCAGAAGGCAGACTAAAAAAATAAAATTCAAAATACTACTCTGTCTTCCTGTGTTCTTTCCCACCACAGTGTGCTGTTTAAAGTTCCACAACTATTATCTTCTTCTTCTTGTTCTTTGGTGAGTTCTACAAAAACCTAGATGAAAGAAAATAAATTAATAAAAGTATTCTATATCTCATAGAAGTTTTATCTAAATCAGAAAATGGTATATGGTCATTTTTAATTATATTTACATGTATCAATAAAGATTTACTGATACTTAACACTTTTCTAAACAAATTATCCCCACTAACTATGTGCTACAACAAATGCTTTAGAGGATTAATAATTGTTAATGTATAAAGTAGTTCTGTCATAAAAAATAATTTATAAATATTTAAACAAGATATTTTAATATGAAATGCCATCATCACGATGCAGTTCCTTTACCAAAATGAAAAACTAAGCTACTCAAAATAAGCAAATGGAAATTAGTCTGACTTACTTACTCCATACTATATATACGCAAAATGATTTGTCAATGAAAAATACTTTAAAAAGACGAAAAAGGAAACAGATGGAGAACTTAAATTTGTTTAAAATTATACACTGTTTAAGATTATTCTGTAATAGCAGCCAGAAATAATATAATTTCTCTCCAACTTTAACAAAATAATTGCTACTTTCTACCATATAGTAATTGTTTAAAATTTAATTTTATAGTACCTGTTCCAATGTTGCCTGAGAAAAGCTATATTCTTCAACTGCGAAAGTATGTTTAGCTATTAAAATAGAAAACAGTGTTTTAGTTATCTGTTTCAAAAGACTAAAATGGTAATGACTATTAAGTTGGCTAATAGTATCTATTTAAAAGACCCTTGTAAACAATTCAATGAAACGAATTTGCAAAACATCTTATCATCCTGTCTTACTTCCTTTCTGTTCCCTATGCCCATTTTCTCTGTGTAGCCCTAGGCATTTTATATTTCTTGCTACTTACTTCATTCACATTTTCTAAGTTACCTCCTCCTTTGTCTTCTTTTTTTTGTGTTGCTTTTGCACATTCCTTAATCTCACTAAATACTGTTCTTGCCTCTTAAACTAGATTTGGAATATTGATCTTATCTCCAAAAGCTTTTCTGTATTTCAGATTCTTTTGCAATCTAATTTAATACCAAATGTCTGTTCTTATATTGATTCTTTTAATTCTATTAGCTCAGATAATTTTTAATCAATATTATGACATATACTACATCTAATAAAAATTATACATCTATCTATATCTATTAGAGACATAAAAATAAATTGTGCTCTACGGCTCAAAAACATTAATATGTAGCTGTTATAAGGCAATCTTTTTGTAAGCAGTATTCATATAAAAGCAAGCATAACAACTCTATATTCATTTTGAAAAACATTAGTGATCTTATTCATAAGTGTTGATTGTTCTACAGTTTAAAAATATCATAAAATAATTGCATGAAAACTTACCCAATCCCAGTTTATTTCCTAGTACTAGCATATAATTATCCTACCCATCAATTATATTTTAAGTGCTAGAATTCAATAAGCTTCTTTAAAACTCTGGGTAGTGTCCAACTTCACAGTGAATTCTCTGTCCTGCTATCATTAAGATCATTACTACCTCTATGGTCCAGCAGGAAGTTAAGGGTTGAAGAAACAATTCTCTGACTGCAGGATTAAACTGCTTAGAGAAAGCTAATGATTTCTATGGATGCAATGTAAAAGCTATGATAATGCTCACCAAGCTGAAAAGGTTTATACCACAATACAGTTTTTCAATAAAATCCCTATGGCATTTTTCTTTATATTTTAAGATTATCTATTTATTTGCCAGTTTCTACAATAAACTGACTTTTCAGTTTTAATCTTTTTATTTTTTCAATACTACTCACCTTCTTCCAGCTTAGAAAAAGCTTGAGAAAGAGACTGAACATCTTCCTTAGGAATTTTATAAGCCAAAATAGAAGAAAAACTGAAAAAAAGATAAATTCAGGAAAATTTAAAAATTACCAATATCACATAGTTATTTAAATTCAAAATTAAACTGATAATTTTTATAAAAATAAAAAATATTTTATAAAATTGTTTGAAATGATATAATAACTGTGTATAATAAAATAAGTTATTACTACTAAGTAAGAACTGTAAAAAGTTTAAATACAAGGACAGGGTAAGCAGCTCAGTGACAGAGATCTTGCCCAGCATGCATGAGTTCCTGGGTTCAATCTTCTGCAAAAATACATACTGAAAATATAACATCAGATTTCATTAGTCCAGTCCTGGGGATACTATAGATGTTAACATGTCTATAAGTAGTACTTCTATAATACTGGCTAAAGAAAATGTTCTAGTCCTTAAAATAATTTTTAACGCTCTATAAAGACTTACAATTACATTTTAGCTGGGTATTTAGGTCAATGACTCAAGTGCTCGTCTGGTAAGCACAAGGTTATGGGTTTAACTCCTTGTATAAAAAAAAAATTACATTTGAAATTTCTTACCTTTCCTGACGGCTTGCATTTGGGAATATATATTCAATTTCTCTTTGAAGGCGGTCTATCTCTAGGTTGTCTACCCAGTCCTTTAACTTAATTTCCAGAAAGTATCCTCTTCCAAATTTACTCTTTAGATGTTGTACCGTCCCAATACATCTACAGTAATTTTTAAAATAAAAATGATATATAAAGTGGTTTGACGCTTCAACGGATGAATTATCACTTAAATTTCTATAACTTAAAGGTAGTATTTTTACACTTACAGAACATTTACCAACATTACATCCTCATACACTTCTGATACAATTTCAGCTTCCCTAATACTTTCATTTTGTATTCCCATGGTATGCTTGTCA